GCTAGTGGGTTAGGTGCGGGTTCAATTTTTGACTCATTTATTAAATGGGTCAGGTTCGAGTTAAATTCGATTCAGATTAGGTCGAACCCGACTCATTGAACTATTTCGACACCCCTAATAAAAGCTAATCGGACTGCTCAGCCATTGAGCAAAGGATCGACATTTTCAAAGGTGGTTTTTCTCAGTTGTCTCTTCCACTCTTCTTGCCATAAACATCACGTTTCATCGCTTGATTTGCCATTCACCAACTAAGATAAGTAGTTATGACACCAAAACTAATTTCTTGTTATCATTTTAAGTGCTGGTTCCTTTGTTTTACGTAATTATTTATCTGATAGTGTTGTTGATGGTGGTTCTTCTTATTCTTGCCTTAATCGTTGCAATTGAGGATTTGAAGCTTGTATTATTTGATTTGCTTTTTCTAGAGGTTAATTATGGGTTTTATTGTGGGTTAGAATATACGCGGCGATAGAGTTAGAATTTTTCATCTCGGCGTGATACGGATGTCCAACACACAAACAGAAAAGATATAAAACATAAGGATTTTTACGTGGAAAGCCCTGAAAAGAGAAAAACCACGGGGCCACGTTGGCATCACTTGAAAGTCGGACGGAACTCCGACGGTGGTCGAAGAGGATCTTCTTCCTTCTCTTCCCTCCTTCTCTTCTTCTCTTCTCTTCTTCTTACTTGGGTCCCTTCTTAAGAAAAATGAGGGGCTACTTATAGTTTTCTGAGAGTGGCATGATCCGTAAATAGGAGGACGATCAAAGACAAATGACGGCCGATATTGAATCCCTTGATAATGGACCGTTTGTCAGACATTTGTAGGTCTTAATGTTATTGGAATTCGATGATCTTGGGCTCGTTGGATTCATCTCATCGAGCCGCTCGATTCTACTATAAGCATGTTATGTTTGGAAATCATTTGGTAATTCAAATTGAGGTTTGAACCTTCCATCAACGCTTCGGGTCTTTGATTCAGACCCATTTGTGCTCGGATTGAGTTGAATTTAGTGTCATTGGGTTTGTATTTCTGAGACGTTCAGTTCAACTATAAGTTTGCTGAAATCGAAGTTCATATGTCACAAAATTTAATTTTTGAAACTTTTCGACCTGATTTTGCATCGAGATTCGTGCCTGATCAACATTTTTTTGATGATATATCAGGTGTAATTTCTAATTTTTTAGGATAGTGGGGGAAAATGGTGAAGTTTTGATGTTGTAGAAAATAATTATGTAAATAAATAAGGATGCAAGCAAATGGACAATTTTTTTTTTTCCTATGAAAAAGAGCATTACAAGTAAAATGGAAAAATCAACCCATCATAAGCTAAGAATAAAAAAATTAGCTTAAGAGCAGAGGATAAAAGCAAAAACTATACCTCCCAATACAAAAAAAAAAAGTGTAAAAAACCAAAATGTGATAGCAGAATCATATCTTGTAGGACTCAGGCTGCAGTCCGAGCAGTAAACCGACTAGAATTTAGCTTCAACGATGCTCTGATAGTCCCCTGGTTGCCCCGAAGACCATCTAAGGGGAGCGTGGAGCTGCAGCAATCATCATCGTCCTAAAAAAAAAATCCCAGGCAATAGAGAGAGCACTCCTGGTTGCCCCAAAGACCTTCCAAGGTAAATGGGTAGAACCAACAGGAAAAGAAAAATCATGTGCCAAGCTCTCATGAAGGCAAAATGCATTACACCTTCCATCCATGCAACCAACAATAGAGATTGTTCCAGCCAGAGAAAAAAACCAAAATGTGATAGCAGAATCATATCTTGTAGGACTCAGGTTGTAGTCCAAGCAGTAAACCGACAAGAATTTAGCTTCAACGATGCTCTGATAGTCCCCTGGTTGCCCCGAAGACCATCTAAGAAGAGTGTGGAGCTACAGCAATCATCATCGTCCTAAAAAAAAAAAAAACCAGGCGACAAGGAGAGCACTCATGGTTGCCCCGAAGAACTTCCAAGGTAAATGGGTAGAACCAACAGGAAAAGAAAAATCCTGTGCCAAGCTCTCGTGAAGGCAAAATGCATTACACCTTCCATCCATGCAACCAACAACAGAGATTGTTCTAGCCAGAGGAAAAAACTAAAATGTGATAGTAGAATCATATCTTGTATGACTCAGACGGCAGTCCGAGCAGTAAACCGACTAGAATTTAGCTTCAACGATGCTCTGATAGTCCCCTGGTTTCCTCGAAGACCATCTAAGGGGAGCGTGGAGCTGCAGCAATCATCATCGTCCTAAAAAAAAGCCTAGGCGACAGGGAGAGCACTCCTGGTTACCCCGAAGACCTTCCAAGGTAAATGGATAGAACCAACATGAAAAGAAAAATCATGTGCCAAGCTCTTGTGAAGGCAAAATGCATTACACCTTCCATCCATGCAACCAACAACAGAGATTGTTCCAGCTAGAGAAACTCCAAGTAACCAATACAACTATAGTGGTTCCAGCAACAGCAACAACAGCACCAAGATAGGTGAGAACCCAATCCAGAGAACCAGAAGCCCAACAACAACAGCACCTTCCAACTAAAGTAGTTCCAATAGAGAATTATCATTTTCCATTTCAAAACCTTGGAAAAAGCTGCACTTTTTATTTTTTGGTAAATGGTATTGGAAGATGCAAAAACATTGCCAAACTTTCTATCATTCCTTTACCTCCAAAAGTGATAAATTGCACAACAAATAATGAGATTGTAAAAAGACTTGACTTTGACATGAACATTGCTAGAGCATTCAAAAGCCTGGAGAATATTTAGTCTAAGTAGTTGACTAGCCATATTAGGGATAAGGGTTGTAATTACCTGGAAAGAATAATCACATTCAAAAAAAAAAGGTGAGAAGTAGTTTCATTGGCATTGTGACAGAGGGGACAACAAGAATTAACGTAATTACTCTTAGAATTAAGAACATCAGCAGTTTTTAGTCCGCCCAAAATGGCCATCCAACCGAAAGATGAATATCTCAATGAGTGATGTTCATGCCATACAAAATGTTGCCAGTTAACCAAAGATAATCAGGGCTGCAAGTGAACCAAACGTTAGACAAGCTACTCGTCGCCCAATTCGATTAAAGTTTGTTTGTTATCGTTTAACTAACTAAACAAACAAACATGAACAATATTTATAATACTCGATCCTTAAATAAACAAAGGAACTGAACACTAATGTGTTCAGTTCATTTGTGTTCACGAACAACATCATTTGAAGCTCGTGAACAAGCTTGACATTAAGCTCGATAAGAAGCTCAATAAAAGTTCGATTTGTGTTCGATTTAGAACTCGTGAATAAGCTCGATAAATATATTCATATTGATTAATCATATTTTCATTTTAAATAAACAACTGCTTTTATTATAAATTTAATTTAATTTAATTTTATACCTTCAATAAAATAAATTTGTTCATGAACAAGAGACATTTTGATATTACAAAAAAAAATTATCTAAATATGTTCATGAACATAGCTCGTTAAGACTTGTTTGTTTAAAGCTCGATAAGCACTAAATGAATCGAACATGAACAACATTAATTTAAACGAACTAAACATGAACACAAACAATAAGGCTCGAATCAAACACAAACCGAACTTGAACAAGCTAATAATAAACTAACTCAAACATGAACACTCGCATACTTGGCTCGGTTCGGTTCGTTTGCAGCCCTCCAAAGATTCATTCCTGAAAAGGAAATTATGAAGAGAGTTATAGGTATTATCCTTCCCATCTACCCAAGTCAGACAGCATGTAGCATTTGAAGCTATAAAAATCTTGGAAAACAGATATAGAAGAGAAGCAGATAACTATGAAGGCAGATCTCATTCATATTCATTTAAAATAACATAAATCCTAGCATTGTCAGAAAAGTGATTCAGAATTGCCTGTATACCAGGAACTTCATGAAGCTGTGTACCATTAAATCAATGGTCCCATAAATCAATGGTCCCACTAAAGAGAGATGGGCACCTTGTTAGAAATGATAAAATTAAAATTATTCTTGACATCATTGGCCACTTTTCATACTTTTTTCCAGAAAGAGGAAAACTTCATCGCAGGAGGTTTCCATGGACAGAAAATTCAATAGATTCAAATATAAATATATGAATTTAATTAACAGATTCAAGCCTTAGCAGAGGTACGAAAGCAAAAGAAAATCAGTGAAACAGATGGTGTTTATTTCATCCTAAGAGTAGGCATAAGGGTACTGAAATGTCAGCCAAAGTTGGGTTAAAGAGGAAAAACAGAAGAGTGTCATTGTTACTAAATTAAAGATTAGATCAACTATTATGTATGCTCCAACTCCAATACATTATTATTTATTGAGTCTAGTTATAATGTCGGTTATCATTGAACTGACAATACAAAAATTAAATCTGACTAACATGCTAATTGGACTTAGCAAGCATCATTCAATGCTAAACCAGTAAAGTTTTAAGTTTAATTCAAACAATACTCAGCAGGGGTTAAACCTATTGAGAAACTTCAGTTTGTTTTCGCTTTTTTTCCGTCTAATTTGATTATGAATTCTATATATTTTAAATATTTTGATTTTGTACAAAAGTTATGAGCATATATTTTAAGTTGTTAAAATTTTGTGTAGCAACACCTATAGAGGATTAAAAAAAATGATAATAAGCAAAATATTCTGTAGACACTTATAGAGAATTTCAAAGTTGAAGAATTAAATAAATAAGGTTACATCTATAAAATATTTTTTTATTTTATGCTGATATATATAGTAAGGTATCATAATTTTTTTTGGAGAAGTAATAAAATATTTAAGTACTCATAATAATAAATAAATAAGATTTTAATTAAGATAATAATTTAAAGTTTTTATAGGAATAATATTAATTAAACTTTATTTTACTACATTTAATTAATTATATATATCCACATTAATTTTTATTTTTTAAATATAATTTAACAATTCGGTCCGGCCAAAGCCGCGAAGGTAAGGCAGAGCCGCACCATTCGACCTGTTTGGAGCCCTAGATTTTTATAGGAAAGCATCTGAGCCAATTTCGCTTTATGCTAATTCCAGAATCGAAACCCTTCTCCCTAAGCTCGTCAAATCATCACACCTCGCAGAACCGTGAAGAAGAAGTGGGGGGAGAGAGAGATTGTGGGAGTACCTGAAAAAGGAAAATAGTAGAAAAAATGCCTCTGACTACAGTTGTGGAAGCCAAGGCGTCCGATTTCGAACTGGTATTTGAGAAGTTTAAGGAGGACAACTCGGTAATCAAGCTGCTTCTTTTCCTGGCTGATAAAGATCCCTCTACCGAACTTAGCTGGTGCCCTGGTAATTAATCCTTCTTCCTCCGGCCTCGTTCAAGCCTTATAATGTTTTGAGTTTCCATTAATTTTTATTTTTATTTTTTCAAGCTTTGCAATTTATGTCTGGAATCTCTGGATGTTGCCTCGATCTTTATTCCTGATATGTATTTGGAAAAGTAATTTCTGCTTGTTGGATTTTGTTTTTTTGTGAATTAAATATGACTTTTTAAAGTGCGAAATTAGGGAGGTTTGGCGTGCGGTATTATTTTTGCTTGTTAGCTGGAATCGATCTTCCTCCTTTTACTGCTATGGTCATAAATGGAGTTCTGACCCAGGAAATTAGTTGCCTTGGGAGCCCATGAAGCGAAATAAGGATGCATTTCATTTTGCTGAAAATCTATATCATAAATTTATATTTATTTGCAGAAAATACTGGCAGTTAAGAATTTTAAAAGATTCCAATTGAACTAGCTTGTTAATTCAATCAGTTCATCGCAGCCACCTGGTTTACTATACTGGGCTACTATAAGCTTAAGGAAAATTCTATTCCGCTCGACTTGATGTGCCAATATTATTCTAAGGTATCATTTAGTTGTTTGTAAATTGAGAACATGTTTTGGAAGATGATGATTTTGTTTTCACTATTCTTATATGTGAAAAATAAACTCATCACTTTAGTCGGTGCTTTGATAAGTTTGTGGAGTTTGAAATCAAATTTGATGTCAAATAACATCCCTACAAATGATGGATTTAACGGATGTTATCATTTTGCAAAACATGATTTCTAACTTTTAGCAATAAAATAATCCCAAATACGTAATTTTATGTCTGATTTCCAAATAATTTAGTTGAGAGTATCTCTGTTCGTTAAAATTATATGCAACATTTCTTTTCATGATGATGGAATTTCATGTTCTGTATACCTTTCTAAGCTTCGAGAAAGGTAAAATCTCATCCGAGTCAAGTAAAGATTGGAATTTCATGTTATCATATTTTAGTATTATCCTTCATAAAACGAATAATATATTGTCATATGGCCTAGGATTTGAGAAATTAAGGGTTGTCTGGTTTATTGATATGATGTCTCAACTCTCAAGCGACTATTTGGTTTATTGGTATTTGAAATATGGTTATCTAGATTACATTTTCATTTACATATTGGTTTATTCTATCAAATGCATTTTTAGTAGTTTATAATTATTTTTTGTAAAGATTGCATTGCTATCTGTACTGATAACTGAAGATGGAGTTCTGGTCTTATGCTTTAGGATGTTGAGCCACATAGGCTAACATTTAGCTAGCAACCATTTTGAGCCAAATTGATACATGAAATTGACGCAACTTTAGGATGTTGGCGAGCCAAACAAGCTACATTTATTAATACGACAATATGACAATCAATATATCAGTTAGCAGATGATTTATAATTCTATTTGTTGCTTGGTACAAAGCACAATATTAATACTTGTTGAGGAGCTCTAAACATAAGTTGGTTGTTTGATATGAATTTGACAAGATTACTTAAGCTTCTCACATGAAAATTTCACAATTTTTTTCCTATCTCAATTCATACATTATATTTTTATTTCACTTATGCTAGAAATTTAGAATTATGTAGGTAAGGCTTTGGACCTCCTTGCTTTGCACTGGATCCAATAGCATTAATATTTGATGCTCCTCTAGATATTTCTCCACAATTAATTGCATATACGATGGAACTCTAGCATGAATCGACAATTAATTTGATTTACATTTCATGAAATGTGAGTTATTAAGCATTCTAGGAAAGCATGTAGCCTTTATAGTCCACATAGTATAGCCTTCATCTATATCACTATTAAAAAGCTTATTGTGCTTTCACTCAAATAAAATTTAACCCACCATCTTAGATAAATAATCTGGACCCTTCATTACTTAAACAAGTTAAAGAAAATTGAGATATCCAAATTCCATATGAGCTATTATCTTGCAAGAGATTCTAGATGAGGTGTTATTTAGAGGAAATTTTATCAGGAAAATTGGAAATCCATAGATTTTTGCTTCTCCAACGGATATATAGGAGAATTGATCATAAATTGATTAGATGAAGTTATAAGGTGTGGTTGTGTTCTAAGGTTTCGTTTGTCTATGTTTTAAGAAAAGAGGTTTTTAGTTTGCAATTCTGGTGTTTTTTTTTTCCTTGATTGCATGAAGAGGCAAACAAGAAAATATGTTTAGAGAAATCAATAAATCCATATGACGTGTTATCCTTTGCAAGAGAGTTGAAGTTTAAGAATTGCTCTTACAAATCCCATATGGCGTTATCCTGTCTGGTCATCCCTTTTGGTGCTCTCCAAGCACTTACTAAAAAAAGTAACGTAGAGGATAAATAACAGCAATATTAGAAAAACTATGACTTGGTTGCGACTATTATTAAAAGTGTGCTTTATGAGCAAAGCTAAGCAATGCATTTGACCTACTTATCGCTTTCCTGTGAAGCACAAGCTCACGGTAAAGTGTGTGCATCGTGTGGTAGCATTGTGTCGTTGTGTTGCACTCAATCTCATAATAAATCCTAGTTCAAATTTCATGGTTCAATTTAAGGCATTACTGATCTCTTTTCCTCACTAGTTATATAGTGATTAAATCATTGCTTGTTGGTTATTTGTTCTCTTTCGTTGGAGTTAATTATTTCTTTGTGGTTCTACTTTTCATGCTCTCTTATCTATTGGTTTTTTTATATGTTTATCATTGATTTGTGCTGCTGATACTAGTAACTTCTTGCTCTTTTTATCTTTTTTTTTTTCTTGAGAATGGTTCTTACGCTTTGTTTGGAACGGCTTTCTAGCTGCTTTTTAAAATAAGTTTTTTAGTTAAAAATTAAAAAAAAAAATTGTACTAGAAAGTTGTTTCAAAAAGCAATAAGAAAGTCATCCCAAACAAAACTTTAGTGTATATCTACATTCTTTTCGGTACCTCATTTTTGTGCTCTCTCACTTCATGCTACCTCTGTTTATTGGTTTTAGCTGGTCTCGAGAGTATTCCTTTAAGTTTTGAGGTGTTATTTATCGCTTCATTCTTTATATCTTCATTTTTTTGTTTATGAATATATCATATGGAGCCTTTTATTTCCTATAACTTGATTTCAAAAGCATTATTGATCCTAGTAAACTGTACAGACCAAGACACCTACTTGTACATATTTGCCAATAGTGAATAACACATTATAGAACAAAGGTTCTATGGAGGCATATCATATAATATAACATATGCTATTTTAAAAACAATATAAAAATAAAAAAATTCATGGATCTTTTTTTAATAATTCAACAATCTAGCATTTTTAGCATAAAAAATACCATCAATGTTCTATAAACAGAATGTAAGATTATTTTAATATGCATGAAAGATTAGAAAATAATTTTAGATTACTTTCTTCCTCTTCATTTTTTTTTTCAACTAGTGACTAAACTCAAACCTGGGATTCAAGCCTCCTATCTTGTTGAACTTTTCATTACCCTTCTGATGCGGACATTGGCACGAAGATCTGGCGTATCTAACACAGGAGGCGTCATAAATCGACGGCTCTAATTTAAGTTATCATTTATGAATTATTTTCTGCATTTTAGTTTCTATTTTATGTTATTTTCTATTTTACCCCTAGGTTAATTTATTTGAGTGTTGTGACCCAAGGGGCATTTTTGTAATTTTCTATTTTCTCATGTTATGGCCTATAAATAAGGGCCTTAAGCTATTGTAATGGATGGTTGATTGATATGAAAAAATTTTGTGTTCCACAAAAAAAAGGATCAAAATCTGACACTGTTTTCAGATTTTTGGGAAGCGGACTTAGAGCGTTTTCCCGTCCTGCATCATCTGATATCAGAGCATGGACTCGGATCAACTTGGACGAACTTTAAATTAGTTGGTATGTCAACTGGGCGCCGTTAGTCAACAACTCAAGGTGGATCAAGAGGACTTAGCCGACCTCCATCGTCAAACAATCGAACGATTCGATCACCTAGAGCGAGGCAGGACTAACCCACCGTTTTATGCAAAAACCCCGTCATCAAAGGATCGAAAAAAGGCACTAAGAGACAGAGAGATAGTGGATAGAGTGGACAAATGGATGGAAGCCAATGAAGCCTTCGATTTCCCACTCACTGTGCAAATCAAAGAGAAATCTAAGGTGATCAAGGAAGAATCTGAAGAAGAAGATGAATTGGTTGATTCCATTACAACTCCTACAGAAGCAATGGTTTCTTTTGACTCCGTTAAAACTCCTACAACGGAGAATGTTGATGAAGCTCTGGAAGTGGTATCCATAGAACTCAATATTGCTCCTATCGCTTGTGAAGCCATCTATGAGATTGAACAAGTTCATGAGTCCGAAAGATATTAGCAAAATAAATAAATATTATTCATTTAAAAAAATTAATTGAAAATCTATTTAAAAATAAATAGTTTATGTTTTATAATTGTGGGAACTTGAATTTAGTTATTTAGTCACACATCACTTGGAAATTTTTTCTTAATATTGTTTGTATAATTTTATTTTTATTTGTATTTGTTAAGAATCACATAGAGTAATAGAGTCATTTGAGAATACAAGGTTGGTGCTTCTTTTTATAAATGACAATTATATATATTTAATTCTTATTTAAATGATAAATATATTAAATTTAAATTAATTTATTAACTTTAATATTTATTTTTCTAAGTGTATTGAATTATTTTATTTAATTATGTAAATGGAATAACACTTGAACCAGCTGGTTCAAAAAGATCTTGACTGGTTGAAACTCATCCTGACTTGTCTAAAATTTTGCTAAACCTTTTTAGTTTTGCCGGAAACTTTCAATGTCATCTGAAGTCTAAAATCACCGGAAGCAAAGCTTCGCATGAAACTCTATTTGAAAATTATCATTAGAACTTGACGAATCATTATAAGCTTGGAACAAACATCATACATTGTTATATGCTATTCTATTCTTCCATTTGCAGACTGCAATGTTGCAGAGCCAGTGATCTACGAGAAGCTCTCGGCTTCAGCAAGCGACGTTGCGATTCTGAAAGCATTTGTAGGTGATAGACCCACCTGGAGGAATCCTAATCATCCATGGAGAGTTGATCCAAGATTCAAGCTCAGGGGTGTTCCGACTCTCATACGATGGGAGAATGATACCATCACAGGACGTTTAGAAGATTACGAGGCGCATGTTGGAAGCAAGATAGATGCTCTTCTTGCTGGCACTTGACATTTCTTTCTTTTAAACCAGTAGCAGCTTTCATAAACCTTCTCAGGAATAAATATTTCTGTTGTTTGTGGCTGTTATGTATGTCCCATTATATTACTGTTAACAACAGTACTTTCTTGATTTCCTTGAATGTTTATGTTTTGGTAGAATATGTTGAAAGCTGCATTTTAAGGACTCTTTTGCTGTGTAAGAGATCAAATGTACTGTAAAATGCAAGCGTTTTCCGCAATGTATAATTAAATTAGATTACTTTGGAGTTTTCTTCTTCATGCACCCCCTCTCCCTCTTCCTATGCAGCATCTATGTCTAGCTGAGATTGCTAAAAAAGCAAGTCATGTTGGGTTGAAGATACTGGCAAGTCAAAAGAGGCCATTCAAGTATGGATACTCGTTCAGTACGAAGAATCCACAATCTTTGAAGAAGTGCATCATTATTAGTACAAAATATTTCACGCCCCTACACTTTCTCCTGCAACTTAAGGTGGGGCGGAAAATAAGGCGGCTGATGCCTTATCCAGATGCTTGGGGGAACTTCAGGAGCTGTCTGTTTCAATGCCACTAATGGTAGATTGGTAGCCATCAAGGAAGAAAGTGTGCAGAACAAAGAGTTGAGAAAGATAAGAGAGGATTTGATGAGAGATAATGGTAGCCATTCTAGTTACTACATGGAGGGAGGGAGGCTATTGTATCAAGAGAGGTTTGTGATGCCACGAATTTCCATACATATTCCCCACTTGCTACAGGAGTTCCACGGCAGTATAGTGGGAGGACATTCAGGGGTACATTAGACCTATAGAAGGTTGGCATATGAGCTTTACTGGAATAGAATGTATAAAGATGTTGAGGAGATTGTGGCGAAGTGCGAAATGTGTCAGAGAAACAAATACATGGCAATGACTCCAGGGGGACTATTACATCCCTTGGCACTTCCAAACAGAGTATGGGAGGAAGTGTCCTTGGACTTCATAGATGGCCTACCACGATTAAAAGGATTCACAGTCATCATGGTAGTGGTGGATAGACTTAGTAAGTATGCACATTTCATTCTCTTACGACATCCCTATACCGCAGTGACAGTGGCAACAACATTCATCAGGGAGGTGGTTCGATTGCATGGGATTCCTGAGTCGATTGTGTCTGATCGAGACAAAGTTTTCCTCAGTCAGTTTTAGAGGAAGCTGTTCAAATTGTAAAGCACTATTCTTAAGAGAAGCACCGCCTATCATCCGCAGACAGACGGTCAAACATAGGTGGTGAACTGAAGCTTAGAGGCTTATTTGAGGTGTTTTGTTTCTGAAAAGCCACGGTTGTGGGCTAAACGGTTAGCATGGGCTAAGTATTTGTATAATACTTCATACCATTCTGCATCTCAGATGACCCCTTTTAAAATACTGTATGGAAGAGAACCCCCACACTTGGTGCATTTTGGGAGAGGGAACACACTAGTTTATTCAGTTGAGCAGTACCTAGAGGGAAGGGACAATGTGTTAGAGGAATTGAAGAAACACATGTCCAGGGCACAACAAATCATGAAGAAGTAGTAGGCAGATAGATATAGGAGGGACAAACAATTTGAGGCGGGAGAGAAAGGATTCTTGAAACTAAGGCCCTACAGGCAGAGATCAGTTGCCAACAAGAGAAATGAGAAATTGGCTCCAAGGTAGTTTGACCCCTATGAGATTTTGGATAAGATCGGAGCGGTGGCGTAAAATTTGAAGTTACCCCCATCTGCCACCATACACCCAGTCTTTCATGTATCATAGTTGAGAAGAGCTTTAGGGGAGCATGCAGTTTGTGCAGAGTTGTCAATCACAATGACAGAGGACTTGGAAGTGATTCTAGAACCACTGAAGTTGAGGGGAGTCCGATTGGACAAAAAAGGAAACAAAGAAGTGCTGATCAGATAGAGGGATTTTGCTGATTTCGATGCCACGTGGGAGCCATATGTGAGAGTGAGGCTCTAGTTTCCTTCTTTTTACCTTGATGACAAGGTGAGTCTTTGGGAGGGAAGTAATGTTAGGCCGGCTGAACCGATCCAACCTGGATGGGTTCATGTGTACTATTGCCGGCCTAGGGGGAGGGTGGAACCAAGGGAGAGGGGGGAGGTTGGCCTAGTGGGCCCAAGCAATTAATGTAATAAGTGTTTAGGGGTGAAATTTGAATTGGGGAGCTGTTTAGAGATTTTGTATGTCTCCTTTTGCTTTAATTAGGTGCTAGGGATAGAATGAGAGTTTGATCTTGAATTTAAAAAGCAATTTGAGATCTAGGGTTTGTGTTCTTAGGCTCTAGGCTTTGCTAGAGATTTGGAGAGCTGTTTCTTCCTCTCGAATTAAAGAAACTTGTATCGTTTGCTATTTTTTTCATCTATTATTGTTGATTTCCCCATTGTTTCTCTCAGATTTTCATGTTTTCCTAAGAAAATTTGTTGTTATTTGTTGTTTGACTGTTGTAAATAGCAGTTATCCTCACTGTTTTCCACCCAATCTTGCTAAGTTTGCTTGCAAACTCAAGTATTTCCCTTGGGGTTACTTGCGAAGTCAAGTACTTCCTATCAGACCTCCTATCTCCATAATGAAAGGAACTAGGGACTCCTCAATCAATATCTACTCGTCCCCAATCCATTGAATTTGTGATTGCTTTAACAATTTAATGTAGCCGACCCCACGTAGTGGGATAAATGCTTGATGTTGTTGTTGTAATAGTAAACTTCTTACAATTACTTCAATATTCATAAGATTTAATATTGATTATTTTCATCATAGATATAATAAGATTAAGATTTAATACTGATCCTTCATTTAGTCTTGTTATAATTAAATTTTCTTTGATCAATGTACTATTGCTTAAAATTCTAATTAATACTTAATGATACGCATTCAGCATGTCTTTGACAGTTTTTTTTTTTTAATGTATATCAATTCAGGTCATTTGTTTCTCAATCATATGTCTACATAAAATAATATGAAGATCATTTCTCTGCTATGTGATTTTTCCAAATCTCATTCATTGTGAGTATTCCTAGCCTAAAACCAAATTGGTTTTGTGATCTTGATGTAATTTTTCTATTTTAATAGTCCGTTACACTACCTCATAAACGGGAGAAATTATTCCGTGTAAAGTCCGGAGGGTAAAGAACCGTCCGAATGTGAGTGTACATAATATTTGCACACACTATGTATAAAAAAGAAATCAAATAATGTACATAATTATATTCAGTGTACACACTATGTACACTCACATCTGAACGGTTCTTTACCGTCCGGACTCCGCACGGAATAATTTCTCTTAGCTTTGGACCACCAAGCCATCAAGCATCTGCCACTTTGCAGCGATGGCTGCAAAGTTAATAATAGCATAAACTTAAAACAGTGATAGCAAAAGTGTAAGGTAAGACAATTTGTAATAATTTGAAATAAACTTTTAGTTTGGCCACTTGTGTCTAATAATATGTGCAAGAAATATTTTGTGTAGTTTCACCCTGTAGGATCTTTATTTGTTCCATGGCAAAGCTGTTGCGCTACGTGTATAATCTCTTCTGGTAGCAGTTGTTGATTGGGGGCATGGATCACTGGGCTTTGTGAGTTAATAAGCCAGCAGGCCCCATCTTTGTATGCTTTTTCAATGGCGGAAGGGTCCTCCTATATTGGTTCAATGGCGGAAGGTCCCATCTTTGTATTCGTTTCATTATGTTCTACCCCTTTAAAATCAACGGTGTTCCCCTTCGACGAGTTAATCAGGCTTATGTCATTGGAACTTCTACCAACGTTGACATTTCTAAAGCCAAATTTGATGACGGGTACTTTAAGAAAGAAAAGAATTCAATATATAAGTGAATTGCAGAAAATGGTGACTGATAAACTCTTTATATGAACATTCAATATATATCAAATAAATAATGAATTGCATCATAGAACTTCAGTTGAAAAGATAAAAATAAAAAAAATTCAAATGAGGAAGAAGTATTATAAGTTTTGAGACAACAACAGATCAAGCATAAACTTGCAAAGCAGTGATCAAAGCATTCAACTATAAGAGTACTAATTTTGAACAGTAGGTTATAGCAGATCAGTTGTGCATAAACCGATAGCTAAGCGTGTTCAAACAACTTAACAGACAGCAAAACTGATAGCAGGTGGTCTTCAGCCAACAAAAACCACTATTTAGTTCCTTGTAATTGCCTTTCTTTACACCTAATAAAATTCATGATTCATCCGGTTAAATTTTTTTTGGACCAATATTGCCATTCATGCAATCACAATTCAAAGTCTGTGATCAGAGCATATCTTCTCAACTCAGAATCCTCATATTCGAGAAATTATTAGGTGTTAAGTCCGGACGTAGAGATATGTTCGAACACGGAACATTCACTTAAAATTTGACATGTTGAGTGCACTTTGGTTACATTTCTTTTTGTTCTTTATGCTTTACCTGCACTTTAGTTATGCTTTGACTAAACTTTTGTTGTGTTTTTTTTACTGCGTTTTATCTATACTTTAGCTGCGCTTTTAATCTATTTGGCTGAAAGTTCCGCGGACACATTAAATATATAAAGTAAAACATAAATCCAAATGAATATCCAATTGTCCACTCCAATTTTCAATATTTTATTGGAATCCAAACATCAACGTCATTTCTCTAAGTCCGGACTCCGCACCTAATAATTTCTTCTCAGATTCAGCATGAATTTTACAAACAAAGAAATAATATGTACTGTAATCTCAAGTTGTAAAACACAGGTCGATAAACAAAATAGAAAAAGACTAACATGCAAACATTTCAGCCGCTTCACAGACTGAACGCTAGAGAAGACTATCTATTCTGGACGGCAACCGCTTAAAGAAATTACTCGGCGGCGACGGCAGCTTGCTCCGAAACCTGGGATGCCTAAACACATACAAACCCACCACCAGCGCCACCATCCTAAAAGGCGTCACATACAGTGCCACTGCGGCCACCAAGCAGAACAGAACAAACAGCGCTGTTGCTCTCGGATCCCTCCAACTCAACACCCCCTGTAGCCTTTCCCCCTGCGTTGCCAGATCGCCCACCACCGTCTGAATCCTCCCAGCGACACTCCTTAACCTATCATACCTCATTCTTGCCACATCATGCGGCTTCGACGTCGGGAAAGTATCGAACTCCTCGTCGAGCTCATCCGGATGAACCGCCTCCGCCCACGACAGCTTCGTGTCCATGTGCGGCGGATATCGCGGCCGAAACCGGTAGTTCCACAGTCCGATCAAGAACATGTACAAGAACACCGTGGGCAGGATCAGCTCCGGGTACCACAGCAATATCACAAAAAGGACGTGCACTAACACGGTGGTCACCGGATTCCGCCACATACTGACCTCATCCAACCACCGGAGCATGGCGGAGGCGCCGGACATCACCGACATGATACGAAAAAAGTTAGCTTTGCTCCGCCGCATACTCCACATATGGGAATCCACATCCAGCATGTACTCCACCACCTCACGCCGCAGCGGCGGCTCGGCTCGGCCAAGCCTCGCGGCAACGATGCTCATGGCCTGATATCGAAGGCTGTCGACTTGGCTAACGGAGAAAGGCTGCACGTAGTGCATCTTTGGAAGCAGCGGTTGGCCGTAGAGATGAACCATGTTCATCAAGGAAATACAGGTGAAGCGCACCGCAAGCTGAAGCTCCCCCATCTTCTTCACTCCAGACGGCTGAAGAACTATGAGTGGGTACGAGTGGGTGTAAATCCGGTCGGTTTCTAAAGTAGAAAGTCGAATGCGAACCTTACCAATGCGGGAGTCCTTCGCCGCGGGCTTACCGTTGTTATTTCCGCCACCATCACCGCCGCCGAGATGGCAGTTATCAAATACGCCGAGGGTGATGACGGTACAGGGGTCGAACACCTCCCATGTATATTGCTCGTTCCAGCGAGGACCGAAGGAGTCGAGGATAGTTCGAGTGCGAACCCATTTCTGGCTGTATTTGGCGACGCAGTAAGCGTCGGTTGTGCTGTGGCCGTCGCGGGTCTTCATAGGGGCGAGGCTGGCCGCGCCGAGGATGCCGACTTCGAGAACACCAATAGGGAGATTCCAAAGCTGCCGTGCCGTAGGGCGGGTGTCGCTTAAATACATGGTGGACTCGTCCATGACGTGGTAGGCACCCTCGAGGCAGATGCGGAGGTGAATGCGGCTGGCGAAGCGGAGCTCACGCCGCCTTGGATCGGGCTCCAGGAATCCCCCATATCGCTCGAGGTTGAACCAGCGGGAGTGGACGGGGCGGTGGTCGAGCCGTTTCTCGATGGCGGTGAGAGGAAGGACGAGGCGGCCGAGAATCTCGTCCTTGCCGGGAGACACGCGGTCCTCCACGGTTAACACGAGCATTTCCTCGAATGGTTCCGCGGCAACAAAGACCATGTCCTCATTCCACGTCGGACTCAGGCTCTTACTCTGCGATACCCGCGTCTTGAGAATTTGGTTACCGAGCTGGGCCTTGGTGGTGAACTCTGGCGCGCGGTTGGCGTCGACGGGGACGATGTCTTGGGCTTCGATGACGGTGACGCGGATGTACCAGAGCTTGGGGGAAACGTAGACCTTGGAGCGGACGCTGAAGACCCCCTCGCCTTGGACTGCGGCGGCGTCGGCGTGCCACGCCTCCGGGAAGGCTTCGTCAGCCTGGGTCCCCATCCAGACGGCGAGCATGATTTCTCCGCGAACTTTGGTATCGCCGGCTCGCCGGAGATCTTCAAGCCGGTACCATTGCGCCGCCAGGGGACTGTCCGGAGGTACCCTCGTCGGCACTTCGTTGAGGTCGAAGGAAACTTTCCCCATGTACTCATCGCGAGCCATCTCCTTGTCCCGGACGAACACCTCTAGCACTGAGGACTGGATGCGATCCTTTGAGAAAGCGAAGACCTGGTTCCACTCCGGGGTGGTTTTCTTCTCGAAGTGCTTGGTGGTGCCGCGGTAATTTCCGAGCTTCACGTCGACGTATGGGTCGACGCTTCCGGTGAGCGGATTCGGGGGCAGGTCCTTAGCTTTGACGACGCGGACATAGAGGTAGTTCATCTGCTCCACGAGATCGTAGGTGCTAACCTGCTTGTCCCCCGCCGGCCACCGTTCGCCAAGGTTAAGCCTAGCCTCCTTTAGCTTGTACTCCTCTGCCGGTACTGACATTGATAGCGCCGGCATCTTTACAGGCACAGCCGCCGGAGAGGAGGACTGATGCTTGCTAATATGCCGGGTGGTCGCGACCTTCTTAAACTCCTTGACTTCCTCCTTCCCCTTCTTAACCCGTTTCTCTCCCTCTTCCTCTGGCTCGATTTCAACCGGAGGTGTATCGGGATCAGGGGAGATGTAAATTTTGAGGGAGATCTCACCTCTGACGTGCGAAAAGAACCACTTTTTCTCTAGCGGGAAGCGCTGGAGTGATTCTTCGCCTCTGTTAACGACGCCGGAGCCTGGAATTCTGACTCGACCAAGAAAATTGCGGTAGGGGAAGGACTTGCGATCGTTGTAGACGGAGACCTCGATGCTCTGCTTCTTGATTGATTCAAGGCTATCGAGAGTGAAATAGAACTTCTGTTTCCAGATGGGGTTAAGGGTTTTGGAAACGGAGCGAGTGCGGGAGCGCTGGTTGTGGAAATCGATCTCCACGAACGCGTTTGCCGATCCCTCGCCGTCTTTGGGAATGAGATCTTGTGCTTCCACCACCTCCACCACCAGCTTCATTATCCGCCTGAGGCGGCTAACGTGGATTATTCTCTTCGATCGCTATGCGGGGTAGTGAAACGATTTCGGATGAGGATGTAGGATGGTGCTTAATTGGCGGGAGGGAGAGAGAAAGCGAATAAGAAGAAAGAATGGTACACACGCCACTTGAAGGGCGGGAAGAGAAGTGGAGGAATAAAGCGCAACGTCTTTGAATAAAGTGAATGACTTATTTTTCTTTTTCTTTTTTCATCTTAAAATTATAATTTCACAAACAAATAAAAATTATCGATAAAATAATTTCTCACTGCTTTAGATCATTTCTAACCGAAATGTATACCATCGTATATCATCAACTATTTGGTCCATTCGAACTCCAAATCTTACATCAAAGTTGGGCAGGTGAACAGTGTGATGCCGATATTGACGTCAGACTATTGATCTCCGCCAAAAAATTTGAACTAAGAGATTTTCCGAAGAAGCGCGCAAAAGAGGAGAAAAGCACCGGAAAGATGATAAAATGGTTACATTTGCAAGAAGCGCATGAAAGAAAAGTGAAAATGACATTCGATTGGAGAGGAATTACTGCATTTTGAAGTTTTGCTGCATTTTGGAGTAGAAAATAGATTTTTCAATTGGAGATACCCTTATATATATGGACTATCAATAGCTCGACTTAACACAATGAGGGGACCTAAGTGATTTCTCAATAATAATAGTCTTAATCAATCACCGCTCTCAATGCTTTCTTAAATTACGAACTCTCAAATTTCATTAATAAACTTTAAAGTTAAACGCGCTCATGTAAGAGCACTCCTAAGATTGGTGAGCTCCTAGGAAGTTATATCAAACGGATAAAATGATGAAGTCATTAGATCAAAACAGATAATATTTTGAAGATTAAGAAATTGAGGTGTCATATTAAGTACTTTTAAGAGACATATAACTATAAGTATCATTTTCATTTGCCTACGTGCATCCCAGCCAAGAAAGATCAAATTTAGGTCTCGTTTGGGACGGCTTTCTTACTACTTCTTTATATTATTTTAAGAATTAGTAAGAAAGCTGTCTCAAACAAAGACTTAGGCTTCATTTGGGACGACTTTTATTCTGCTTCTTAAAATAGCTTTTTAGTACAAAAATTAAAATTTTTGTACTAAAAAGCTATTTTAAGAAGCTGGAAAAAAGTTGTCGCAAACGAATCCTTAATTCTAAAAAATAAAGACTCGGTTATAGAAATGACCGAATTACATTTTTTCTCCCTTTCAAATGTTCGAGGGCGTGTTCTTGGCCCGAAGCCCTCAATACCTTTCTTCTCGAAACACCAATAAAAGTGGGAAAACCAAGCAAAAGCATCAAATTAAAGAAGAGTAAAGCAGAGGCTGAGGTGAGGAAAAGAAGAAAAGAAGAGATGGAGAAACTTTCATGCCACGTTGAGCTTTCTACAAAATTCCTTTCTTCCTTCCTTTATTCTGTTTTGTTCGAGATATTATGTTCCTTACTTGAACCTTTTATTCTCACTCCTGAGATATTATTATGTGTGGTTCGTCCAGAGGCGAATCAGAATACGCTGAGTCACCTGACACAACATCAATATACAGCAAAAAAATGACGTGGTACATTCTGATTCACCTCCAAACGACGCCGGTGACCATGCAGAATAATTTCTCCTCAATTCAATTATCTTTTAAGCGTCCTCATCGAATTAGGAATTTAGAATACAGCTAATGTGCAGTGGAGAACCTCTTAGTAGATAGAACCATAATATCCTCAGGTTTAATGGGAAATGCCCTTTTGCATGAACCAAAATAGTGACTATGGTAAAGATATATTTTTTAAACAATATATCAATATCATGTATTGTATTCATATAATAGCATAATTATAATTTTTTTTTATTTATGAATCTTTTCAATTGTATGAAAAAATATATATGTATTTTAAAATATATGTATAATGCCTCAACTTAATGAAAAATTTTCATTTATCTCTCTTATTTTGATTTTTTTAACTAAGTTTTTATTACAATGAGATTTGTGATTTTTTTTTCGATATTTTTCATTCAAAAATTTAGAATGAATATATGAGCAAATCAATATCTATTAAGTGCACTTTTCTTTATTCTGATAAGCTATACCATCAAATTATTTGATGATGGTTCACCATTTTGGACCAAACTCTACTCTTAGGTTCAACATGTTACATGGAATAATTTGTTATTTTATAGGTATGATAAATGTTGCTTTAATTAAACCAAATGCCCATGCCCAGAAGCATGAAAGAAGCTTTGAAATTTAGGTTTAGTTTGAAATAGTTTTTTTTATTCCTTTCTAATATTTTTTTAGAACAAAATTTTTTATACTAAATATTCCAAATGAAATCTCAAGCATAGGGTGTAAAATCGGGCCAACGGATTGGATTTGGGTCCAACCTCAGTTGATCCAGGCGTAAATGGCTTGACCCAAACCAAACCATTTTAGCTAAATTGGTCAAGATTTTCAACCCAGATCCAACCCGTGAGGGTTACCGAGTTGACTCGACCCAACCTACAAACCCGATTAGTTAAACGGCACAATTGCTGAGTTGCACGGGTAGTGCTTGGGCGAACCGAGAACGCATGCGGTGAGGCAAGGCCTGGGCGATCTTCCATTTTCCTTCCATAGCAGCGTAAGGTAGGGTCTGGGCTAATGTAGGAGTCTGCGGTGAGCCGATGAGGCCACAGGTGTGAGGTGACTGGTGAGACGAAGAAGGCGGGGAGGACGAGTGGCCAACTACTTGACCCAACTAGGATGCTAGGTCGAAGGGTGCGGGTCATGCTATAGGCCGAAGGAGGCAGCCATGTGTGATCGACCGTCGACCGTGTATGCGGGTCTTGTGATAGGCTGAAAAAAGCGGGAAGTCGTGCATCCAAAATGGAGTTATCACCATTCAAGCGGGTTAACAGGGTCAAAGTCAGATTTTCGAGTCAACCCGAACCAGACCCATTTTTCAAACTGGTCAAAAATTCAAAAGCGGACCATACCCGTTTTACAAACGTGTTGACCCGAACCCGAATTTTTTTCATGTCGGGTCCGAATTGGATTTCAGATAGTATCAACTTTTGACACCCCTACTCAAACACATGACACCAGTGGCAGGCCTAGCTTTTTAATGGATTTCCAGTTTGGAAGATAGGGATGCCTTTTTATACCCTTATCTAAACTATCTCTTTATTCTTTAGCACCCAATCTAATCTTCTCAAAGTTGGAATTGATTCTCTTCATAAAAGGAACAATATAAAATATTGACTTTCTCAATTGTGGACCACGAAAGATTTCCAAAAAGAAAAACATATATTCTCCTCCATTAAAATCATTCAGGCTCTCTGTTTTGTTTGAAGAGGAACGTAATTTTATTTTACATTCATAATTTTGCATTAAATAATTTATTTCAATGTAATTCATAGGAATTAAACTTTTCTACCAAATTTGTATTCATGTTTATTAATTACTATTGTTATTATTGATCATTTCTTTCTCGAATTTTGTGACGAGAACCGAGCGATATGAGCCTTTCAGAGCTACTTGGTGTGCGTGTCCTTTAGATCAACCAAACAAGAACGTTTTGAGCTTTGAAAACTCTCAAAAGTCACTGTTTTCGCACTGCTTTAAGACTCCATTTGGGATAACTTTATAACAATTTCTAATACAAAAAAAATATTTTTGAATCAGTGGAAAAACAGTAGCAACAAAACTGTCCCAAACAAAATCTAAATCTATAATTTCAAATGAACCCAACTCTTTGGATCAATCTCACAGATCCAGCACAAAGTAGCATCAAACACCACATTTTAGAGGGAGACGATAAAAGGATATGTTCAGTAATTTTTTTTAATTAATAGTTAAAAATTTTTCATACAAAAAAAGAGTTATATGTTTTTAGAAGCACGAAAAAATAGTCATAACTCAGACACAAGCAATATTTACCTTGAAAGTTGTGACACATTCCTCGGCAATAAATAAAATACCAACAATGACTCCGCTCGTCCTCACCGTTTTGAGGAAAATGGTTCCTTGAACAACTTTGGTATCTCTGGAATCCCAGATCAGCTCAAGTGCCCGAAAATTCAAAAAGCTCTCAGCTAGGCCTAAGCTTAAAATTCTTTTACGAGGGCTTCGAATATCCTTGATACCTATTTAACCTATAAAGCAATCCTGCAGACCAGGCAGCTGAATTCATTTTAACTCAGACTAACATTGCTTCAGTAAATATCTAAAATACTTTGTTTGGAGAAATTATTATGTGAGGAGTCCGGACGGATAGATCCCGTTTAGTCCGGACTGTGAGTATATACTATATATAATTTTATACACAATTTAATTTTTTTTTTACACAGTATGTACAAACAGTTTACACTCACAGTCCAGATGGAAAATTCATACGGACTCCGCACAAAATAATTTCTCCATTGTTTGAGACTTTGAGCCTCAAACCTCATCTCTAGCCATCTCAACAAGCACAATCGATGGTTGTAAAAGATTCTATTGTTAGGTGAAGTGCTTAATATATTGGAGAAAGCATGCCAAGAATCGTATAGTTTCCCCGCAGATGAAAGACCTAAAAATTATCGAAGGCAGTATATTTTCACAATTGGCATAAAACAATATGAGCATAAAATCCTGGAGGACAAGAACAAGTCAGTCAAATTTAGCCCATATCATACAAAGAGTCAATATGTCATTTGGTATCTTCCAAAAAAACTACAGAAGCAACAAAACTCTTGTTGCCAAGGCAAACATTTGAACTAACTAGATCCTGCTTCAAACCATTAGCATCAAGAAGAAGCAACCGTCATTTTAATAACATGCAATCACATAACTGAGTAAGAAATACAGTCACAAAGGAAAGCAGGAAGAGTTCTCATAAATAAACTCTCAACTACAGTAGCTAAAATACACATAAACAAAAGTGCATACCTGATGCAAGGCAATGCTATCCAAAGTCAGATTCTAATAACAAGGTTGATAAATTAATGTTTGGTGAAATAGTATGGGTAACCTGAGATTCCAGTTGGAGATGGAGAAGGTATTCCATAAGGCTCCTTTGCACTAACATGTGGATATGGGACCTGAGACTGCAATAGGTAGTGCGACGGGGGATTGACGTACGGACTGCTGTACAGATATGGAGCATAAGTGACAGGTGCTGTTGCAGTCCTGATTGGTGACTTGGGAGCCTGTGGGTAAGTAGCTGGAATAGGTATGGCTATAGGTACCACAGTGGCAGGCACCTGAGTTTGCATAAGTTTGCCCTTGTGCTGTGTATCTGCAAGCTTCACAGTGATGCTCCTCCCCTGTCATCAAATTTTATAATTTCTCAAGTTATCAGAAGTTGGATTAGCTTCCATCAAATATTGCAATCTCATAATATTGTATGAAAAATTCGCACATAAGTCAATGCAATACATATTCAGAACTACTTAATGTTTTTATCAGCCAAAAATGTCTACTTTTATCAATGCAAAACTACTTGTTAAAAATAAATAAAATCTTGATGTTGCATTGAAACATATAAATGTTGACTAATCTGGCTAACATGGAACTTGGTAAAATGAAATGATTTAATAATTGAAAGATTAGATTATTCAGGAATACACATTGAATGCACGTTGAATTTCTGGTATTAGATCCATAATTAAAAAAAAATTATGATTGTTCACGAAGAAATGAAATAAAAGTTACGGTAGAACAAGGGCGTAGGGTAAATATATGCAAACTCTTTCAGTTACCCCAAGGATTTTATTTGGGTCAGCAATTGCCTTCTTTGCAACCTCAGCGGACTTGTATGTCACAAACCCGAATCCCCTACAATGTAAATCATAAAAGTCAGGTTGATAATTAATATAATCTAGGATGGTAGATAGAGGTTTACAACAGATGATCTTTTACCTTGATATGTTGGTATCTCTATCATATGCAACCGAACCTTCTTCTATTTCCCCATGCTTTCCAAAGAAACTGAGCAATGTTTCAGTTGATATATCTGGAGACAAACCTCCAACGTATACTTTTCTCAATGCTACATCGGCACTGACAGATGCACTGCTGAGTCCTTCACAAGCTAGATTGCAAACAGCTAGGCGGCCCTGTGAATAGAATGTGAGTTCACTTCCATGAATAACAATGCATAGTTTGAAATTGGACTTAATAAATGAATGAAAAAAGCACATGTCAAACATTTTTTTTTTTAAGGGGTGCAATAGGAGGACTTCCCAGGAGGTCACCCATCCTAGTTGATGTGAAACATACATGCGACAAGAGTTGCTCTAGATTTTAACAATAAATATTGAACATGAACTTTGCCAATTAGAACTTATGTTCACTCAAGTTAAATTCTTAGAGCTTTCGGTTAAAAGATTAAGTAATGGCAAGCAGTTACAAGAGATTAGCAAAACAATCGCAATAAAAACGAAAACAAGATAGTAGTACTAATAGCAAATAAACAAAAATCCACGGTGTAACATCAAGATATAGTCACTAAAAGCTCTTTTCTCACTCAATCACTCTTGGGCTTTAGCGGAGGAGGACAAAGCACATGAGGGAAGATATTACCACTAGGAAGATGGTACCGAAGACCTTCTTTGGTGGAGAGGTAGCCGAGGGTGGAGAAGGAGTGGATCTCCGGATGAGAAGCCAAGGCGCCTTGGGTTGTTGAAGATCAATCGTCTCCACTAAGCAGTTGAGGATGCGATTGACGTAGTCTTCCACCGATTCGTCGTACTCCAAGTCAGGCTCGTAGAAAGGGGAGTAGAGAATGTCGATTTCCCCTTGGGCGTTGTAGGCGAGGCTGTGGTCGACCTCAGGATCGGCTATGCACCAATGACGATGAGGAAAGGGGAACTTGTCTTCTTCTCTTGGTTCCAATATTCATGAGCAAACTAGGGTTTCACGAGAGGAGAAGCACAAGTGGAGGGGCGGCCAAAGGTGGGGGAAGGGAGGAGTGGCTTGGATGAGAGACTTAGGTTAGGTTGAAGAGAGGATGAAGTTTTAATCCAAATCTGAAAAGTAAAATTGAAAGGATCTAATTTGAAATTTGAATTCAAATTAGATAGTGATGGAGCCTAATTAGGAAGCAAAAGGGGAAAATCCCCATGTATGTGGCCGGCGGCATTAAGAGGGAGAGGGGAGGGGATTATGGAGGAGTTAAGCACTTTCCAAACAAGTTAAGGCCAATTAGGAGGGAAAATAATAATTCCTCTCTAAATTAAATTTAGATTGTTTTCAAATTTGAAAACTTTCCTTATTTAGAATTTTGTAAATATGGAAGGTTTTGAATTTCAAATTTGGATTTCAAAATTTTCTAACTCCTCCCTTTATTGCAAAAGCCAAATTAGGGGGTCATTATAATGATTGAAAACATCATAATGATTTGGGATATGGATGGGGCCGGCGGTCAAAGAGGGAAGAAGGGGGCTTGGCGTCGGGTTGAGGTGGCCAAGAGCTAGGCCGGCGGTGGGGGTTTGGAAGGGGAATTAGGTGGGATCAAGGGGAGGTATTTTGGCTGCGGGATGAAGGTGGAAGGATGATGAGAAGCCGGTGGGTGATAACGGAAATAGAATATAGAACGTAGAAGAAAAACACGAACCACAGACTCTTCTGGTGACTGGTGGGTATTGCGCTTGCCCACACGTTGGGCTCTCCCTTCTTTCTAGTGCACTCACAAGAAGAAGAAGAAGACAAAACAAAAATTCATTTAATCATTCATTCTCCTATTACAACACATAAGACCGCAATATATAAGTCTCAAACATGAAAGAAAGGAAAAGTACACAATTGCCCTCTGGGCTACAATAACAAATACTTCCCCATAGGGGTAAATTTGAAAACAATGAAACCAAAAAAAACATAATGCATCAAAAGTAGAGACGATGAAATGTAGCCGTTGATCTACGATTCCGTCGCCGGTACACGTGTCTGAATCTCTAAACGATGTCCTCATCACTAGTACTACTCTCGCCAAAGCACGCTTAACTGCGAATTTCTAATGGGATCCGGTGCACTGGTGCTGGTATGGTAGCACCAAGCACATGTCAAGCAATGATTAGCTTGCTACATTAGAACAAGGGTTGCCTATTGGGCTGGTTTAAATCTAATAGAAACGAGTCCAAATAAGACCAACATTATCAGGGGTAAGCTTGCCAACATATGAGATTAACAAAGAATTGATAGGGCCTATTCGGTTGTTAGCCCATCTATGTCTGGACAAGCTCAAATACTGAACTAAATATGAGATTAACAAAGAATTAATAGGGCCTATTCGGTTGTTAGCCCATTTAACCCTCCATAAGCTCAAATAATATGATCAAACTCTGCATATCTGCTTCTACGTAGGGTGGATGAGAGAAGTCGTGATGCAGGACTACGTAGATGAAATGATTATGCGTTCATTCGGATATTGCTCAACTCGTGAATAGAATAAAATAGAACAAGATTACAAGTAAATTAAAGCGACGAATCAAAATTAGGAGTAGTTATCTGCTTAGGCTAAATCACATGATAAGAACTTTGAAGCTTCCAAAAATAAATATAAAACAACGCAATGAATAGTAGCAGTTTTCAAATTAATCCCTAATTTAACAATGAGAGTTAGGATGCATCGAGGTGCGCTCAAATCCTACAATTACTAAGCTTAAGCGAGAGCAATTGGAAGAGTCCGTCGTGACTGCAATCAACCAACAAGAATTTAGACTAAAAGGAATAAGATGCAAGGGAAAAGAGAAAACCTTCGTTAGGGAGAGGTGGTGATCCTCCACTCAATGCCTTCAAAATGTTCGTCGATAGCCTCAACCAAGTATATCAATGTACGTTCTAAGTAATCTTCAACGGTGAAATCAACTCTTGGGTTCACGTCGAAGAAAGTAGATTGTAGGATGTCCACGTAGCCGTCTTTGTCCCAAGTTATGCCGTAATCAGTGTCTGGATCCGCCATTTATAGGTGTTAGGTGATAAACCTCCTTCGCCTTGATGATGCACTTGGATATCTTGAAAAGAAATAAGCTTCTTTTGCCTTGTGGGAGGGGAAGGAACCAAGTACTAAAATCTGAAATCAGTTTTAGATTTTTGTAATTAGATTATGGGAATTTAGTAGAGAAGATCCAAGATGGACCTTTGAAGAATTCGGCCAGCAGCAGGTAAAGGTTTCAAACTCTTCTCATAAGGAGATCAAGCACGATGGAGGGATTTCTAAAAGAAATCCCAATAGGGAGGCCGGCGGGTAGGTGAGAGAGAGGAATTCTAGGGATTTATTTCCTAACTCATAATGAGATTTTAGGAAATAATCAAGAGGTGGGGATTGAGGAAATTTCGGCCAAGGAGGAGATATGGGGATTTGAAATTATTTCCCAAAAGCCAATGATTGGTTTAGGAAATATTTCCCATCTCAAGCTATGATGGGGCCGGCGGTATCCAAGGGAAAAAGGAAGGGATTTAGGGAGTTAATATAGCTTCCAAATTTAAATTTATGAGATTGGAAAGTTTTAATCAAATCCTCTCTCATTCAAAATTCAAATAGGATTGCATGAATGAACTTTCCTAAAATAGAAGTTGAAAACTAGGAAAGTTTTTTAATTTCAAATTAATTGAATTTGAATTTCAAATTTATCCAAATTTGATCAAATCTAAATTAGGAAACTTCAATGAGATAATGAAGTGGAGGTGGCCGGCGGTTTTTGGCCGTGGGGTGTGGAGAGGGAAGGAGGGATCAGGTGAAGTGGGGAAAACCGGCGGCTACGTGGGAGGGGAAAAAGGAAAGAGCGAGAAAAAGAAAACAGATACGGGAAGGAACCACGAACCCGACTTATCTAGGTTGGTGGGTATTACGCCAATCTTCTTCCTCTCTTAGGAAGCTCTCTCCATTAGAACTCTCAAGCTCTCAATGCTCATGCAAGAAGGAATTTTCATAACAATCATTCATTAACCATGAAACATTAAGCAGCGGGCTATATATAGCCAAGTACAATGGACTCAAAAAAATAAAAACTCAAATGCCCTTTGGGCTTACATACGACAACTCCCATAAGAGGGGTACAAAGAGAAATAACAAAATACACCTAAGCAAATAACAAAAAACATGAATAATAAAATACACCAATGACTCAGAAATATAAAGACTCGATCGTGGCCGTAAATCGGCGGCCACGTCTCTAATAAACCTTCCATGATCTGATGTCCCCATCAAGTCGTCCGTACATGGATGTGAGCTACTGCGTGAGGACAAGTTCTGAAGCAGACAAAAAGTTGTCGCTAAAGCCTACAACAGCTTAAAATTATTTTTTGGCAAACCAAGTTGCATATTTTTTTCTTTTAGCCTGTGAATGGTTATTCACTAATTTGTTTATTCTACTCTTTTCTTTTAATTTTTTTTATAAATTATGGAAAACTACATTCTCCTATATTTTTTCAATAATTATAGGGCTGTCCTGTAGAAGAAGTATAAGTTTCCGATAGAAAAGCTATGCATTGATAGGCATGAATGTATTATTTATTGTTTCTTTTATAGTCAAAAACTCAAATGGATCATGCACTTAAACTATAATTTAAAAAATAGCACCCACCAACTTAAATGGGTCCCTAAACTGTTTCATGGGCTAGTTTTTTAAGCCTGAATAAATGAATGGTGGGTTGTGTACACAAATGAAGTGCATTTAAGCCCATTACAGCATTTAGTGCAGCTAATAAAAGTCCATCAAGGGCTAGCTGTTTGGCCCGTAGTGCTGGTCCCATCCAAGGGAATGGTTTCCTAACAAGAAAAAAAAAAATCTTCTCAAAATGCAGAGGTAAGGTGCACGCATCAACTTCAACTCTAACCCTAACCCTGTATTGATCAGACTTGTGCGCAAGATATAAGTTAAGAAATGATGTGTTGAGATCGAGTGGAAAAAGATGAGCATTGGAACAAAAGTTTGTTGAAATGACTAGCATTCACATTTTCTTGCAAGTTCAGCTTAGAAACAACCTGCTATGTACGCTTAACACCAACTGTGTGGCTTTTTTAGTTTTTTATAACATAACTACATAAGGTTTAGATCCAAACTCACCACTGACATTGATCTAAACCCAGGTCCTCCAAAGATAAAAACATGAACCGCCTCAGAATTCTTCTAGTGATTCCCCCTTTCACCCATCAGCCGGAAATAAAAAATAAAAAATAAAACACAAAGATTAATGGTCTGGACACTTGTCCACGACTATGGTAGCTTACTGGTAGCAGTTGAAATGGTCAAGCGCTAAAAACTCACCAAAAAGTTACCAGATAAACTAATTCTCTGCCCATTGTCCCCAATTCTGAATGGTGTGAGAAGTTGACATAAAGGATTAAACAAACATGGGGAAGGAGACTCTCAAAAACGCTATAATAAAAGCAGTACATAACAAGAAAACAGGGAGAAGCAGAATGTTGTCCACTAAGCACGTTTCTGCAAATGGAGCTAGAATCATGACTTATGAAGCACAGGGTCAATGCAATACAGATCCTTGGAAGTGCAGCATCGCAAGAATTCAATTGAAGAAGAATAGAGGAAAAATAATCTTTAATAATACACTTGAATATAACTTGAGAAAAAAAAAGCAAGTATACTAACTGAACAACAATTTACGACCAACTTAAACAAAAAAGGACCCAGCAGGCAGAACACATGGATAAAAGTAAACTGGGCTGATAAGAAAGAGCAAGAGGAAAGATAGAAAAGCAAGTCATATCAATTCAGATTTCAATAAGACCAAGACAATAGTGAGAATATAAACGGAATACCAGAATTATCTAGCTCATTACTAATTTCAATCACTTAAGACCACGGCTAACATCAATTTGACAGTGATCCAGGGACTAAAATATGCTCACATCAATCAATTTGCTTGGTTCTTCCAGCGCTTTTTGAGTGGATTCCATGTTCTTGAATGTGATGAAGCCAAAACCCCGAGACTTTCCAGTTGCCTTGTCAACTATAACAGCTCCTTCCTCAATTTCACCATGCAAAGAAAAGGCCTGCATTAATATCTTCTTGTTTCATTTACCAGTGAAATTATATAACCTTTATAAACAACAAAATGACTAATTTGCATGCATTACCATGATTCAGTTATAAGAAGAAAAAGGAGGAGTCAAACACAAATTTATGCTTGAACAAGAAACAGAATTAGTTATCCCCATAACACTGAACTACAAAAAATAACTCATGCAATCCCAACAATCAAGCATGAAAAAGCAAACTTCAAAGCACTCACAGCACGCAAAGTTTCTGAAGTGGTTTCCCAAGCCAAGCCACGAACAAAAAGTTTGCGATGTACAGGATCAGTACTTGCTACACCTCTAATTTCTTCAGCAACCTCAGGAATTTTCATACCTCTGCACAGCTCAGCATGCAAGCACGCACATAAATGCACAACAAATACATACAATAAATCAGTATAATAATTAGAAAATTCCTTCTAAACATGCATATTAAGTCAAAAAAATCAAGAGAATATGAACCAGACAGCATCAATATATTATAAATTTACTTAAACTAGTAGCTAAAAGGATAATATCATCACATTTGTTATATGGACAACAAATATTTTTGTTGGCATCAATATCCCAAAAAAATCGAAGCCGCAAAGTTCATTCTCTTTTCACAGCAGTGGGAGTTTTGACGAGCGGATTCACTTGATATGGAAAGATAAGTTTATTTTTAAGTTCTGCAATTACGTTCTGGACAAGCAAGGTAGCTTCAAAGTAGGGTGCTGGGTGACATGGAATAAGACAATGACGATGGATATGTGCTCGATGACATGGAATAGGAAAATGAGGACAGATATTTGCAATGGTAAAAACATAAAAAAGGTCATTGCAGTGAGCATTTTTCCAGCTTGTTCATACGTGCAGGAAGGGACTATGCCATAATATAGTAGAGACTATCATAGGAGGTTCCACAACTTCTCAGGGTCTTGGCATATATAGGATGAAAAGTTAAATTATGCGATTGGAAATCAAGAAAACTGAAGATTATGTTTTCCATACTTCAAAGGACGTCATGATACTCTTCACACAAAAAGCTCACGCTTCATAATACAAACGGATTGACTAAATGCTTAAGAGCATTTTCAGATTGTTTCACTTCGAAGTGCATTTTTGCAACTTAAATCGCACCTTTTTAAAGCACACCAACAAGATTCGTTACTTTCAATGATGACAGGCCCATTTTGTCATGCATCTGAATTGTCATTGGAAAGTGTTCATCGTCATAACTATCGTTACACAAAAGACCTTCATTCATCATATTACCGCATAATTGCAAGTAGTTCTTTGTCATTGTCACCATCGCATGGAATTCGTCATCATTGTCATTTGGTGCATCACTACAAAAGAATTCATCATCACTATCCTTGTTGCATGGAGGAAACCCGCCATCATTATTACAAGATCTAGTTATTAAGATTTAAATGTGATTATTCTTTGTGTTAATATGATATAAATAAATATGTTAATGTGGTTATTCATGAGCAAAATCTAGTTCCTAAATATGAACATCTAGTTATTTCAAAATGCTTCATGTTAGTAATGGAGAAAACTTTCCCCATAAGTTGACATTAACAATTGCACCGTAATCAAAGAGCTTGCGTCCAATATCACACACAAATATTTGAGAGGAAAATTGAAGTTTATCAAACAAGCGTCTGGAATTTTACATGAATCTCATGTCTATAACAAAAAGTCCCAAAATTGGCAGTTTCTTCAAAATCGCCAAAAAATCCCAAAAGTAACAAATCTTGATTCCAATATTCCAGATCTAGTTAATCCAAATAGTGCCAAAATTGTGAGGAAGTCAGATAGGAAAAATATAGTGGCTGTTGCAAGCCTACAGTGGAATGAACTTGCAGTAATAATGCAAAAAAGCTGAAAGAATAAAAAAAAGGTATTTGAATTAGTTACAGTGCCAAATATGGGAATAAGCATATAAATAAACTCTGTAGAAAACATGATTCACTTCCTCTGAAGGAAAGAAGCAACCACAAGAGACATCCACTGAAAATAGCATCAAAACATCCAAATTATCGGCTTGGTAAATATTAGCAGGATAGAATGAGCTAAAAAAGGGATTAACATCAAACCAACTACAACTCAGTTGACATATGGAAACTACCAATAGAAATTCAAACAATCAACAAGAACCAATGGCTGGAGAGTCAAGGGAACCAAACCAAATCAACACAAATTTTAGGGAACACAAATCATTCTTATAGGGATTAACATCTATAGGCATCTTCACAACAAAACTAAAATCAAAACAACTACAGCTCAAATTTCAAAATAACAATCTGCTCGCCTTGACTTTTACATATGGTTTTTTAGTTAGTATAAAATTTTAAATTTTCATCAGTTGCTAAGGATAGGAGAATGATGGAGCCTTCAAAAATCAGAAAAAACATGGAAATTATATAAATATCTAAGTGAATGTTAGATGGGATTATAATTTGTTGAGATCCATTATAATTTCATGATTTATCCATGCCCTGCTCTTTGATTATTACATTCATTTTATTTGTACAAATATTAAGGATGAATATGCAATGATAACCCTTGGGGATGACGTCAATTGGATGCTTTATATTTGCTGTACAAAAGGAATGAAAAATGTTTATATTCAATCTTCAATAGAATTATTGAGACAATAAGGATGATGTGCCTCATTTGTAGATGGAAGCACACAACTCCAGTACTCCACTAGTAAGTTGGGGGCATGTAATAGAACAACTTCATTGTTATATTAAGAGTTTGTGAACTCACGGTGCCTTCATACCATCATTATTGGCATGTCAAGTTTATGCATGTGAACATTAAATAATAAAGGCATTTGATTTTATTAGATTGTTCGAATGGATGTTAAGGCCAATGTTGATGAGCAAATCAATTCAGAAATTACCAAGCTATCATACATGATGCAAGAGAACAAAAAGAAATGTTATTGTATTTGAGTCCATTTGTCATTCAATAAGCATGCAAAAGAAATTTCCAGCAGCTTTTGAGGATATATGTTGCTCTGTGGAGACTGCAAGCCCACTATAGATGCAAGAGTATAAAAAGGAAGATGGTTCATGAGAGTCATGCCTGGGGCTGCCAATATAGTGCTTATTAATTGATCATTTAATCCCTAAATGGTGTGATTGATAATGCTATTGAGTAATCCTATGCTTAATCACATTTAATAGTTGGTGACGAACGAATTGCAAGTGCATCCTTTAATTTGACATATTGTTGATAAGTGTATTATTTAGATTTGTTTCCTATTCTTGGCAGATAAATACATGTCTCTTTGATGTATGTGAATTAAGCTTGGTTTGATATTTTTGTTTGTCAGCTTTTGCTTCCTTGCATAACAAAAGCATACTTAAGGAGTTTGGAATAACAGTTATGAAAGAAGTTGTAATTGTGTGAAAGTTAAAAAGAAACTTTGTTGATACTAACTTTAGGTAGCTTCCCAAATATATGTTCTATGAAATTTAGCTTTTCTATCTTGTTAATTAATTATTTATAGAGTAATCAATATTAGTATATTATAATATAATTGTATAAAATTCATTAAGTATTCATTTCAGTCATTCAATCATCCTCTATCATTACTGTTTGGGCTGCAAATGAACCGAGCCGAGCTTAGGTCTGTTCGAGTTCAAGCTCGTTTGTCAAAACTGAGTTCAAGCTCGGCTCGGAGTTCGTCTAAAATTTTCATGTTCGAGCTCGGCTCGTGTTCATGTTTGAACTCGTTCAATTACGATCTTGTCGAGCCTCTTATCGAGCGACTCGTTAAGCGAGCTGAACAGACCGCTACTCACAAAATAAGTTTAATTATTTAAATTAAGCCTAGCAACAAGTTGTCATGCCAGCCCAGCACACACACCAGCCCGCTGACTTCTTTCAACAAGGAGTATAGATTTATTTGCTTTTATATATCAAAATCCATCTTTTTTCAGATGGTGTAGGACTAAAGCCCTATAAATTTTTTTTTCTTGTGGCCACGGAGCGGAGAGAGAGAGAGGCAGGTGGCGGAGAATGAAATGCAAAATGAGGAGAGAGAAAGAGAGCATAGTGACGGCGGGAGAATAAAAACTTTGGATTTTTTTGGTTTTCAAGACTCATTTAAATTTTAAACAGTATATTTGAATTTTTTTTTTTTTTTAAGATATAATATTTATTTTTAATTAAATATGGCATAATTGAGATTTTTAATCGAGCTTATTAACGAGCATATTTGCGAGCTCTAAATGATATTGTTCGTGAACATAAACGAGCCGAACGCTAGGTTGTTCAAGTTTGTTTATTTAGCTATCGAGTATCGTCAAAATTGTTCAAGCTTGTTCATTTACCTTATCAAACGAACATAAACGAGCTCTTATCGAGCCGAGCCACGAGTAGCTCGTCGAACGCTCGGTTCATTTGCAGCCCTAATTACTATGGTTGTCTTTTATCAAATAGCCACAATCTTATGGCACCAAGGTAGCAATTTTAGCAAAATTCAACATGTAGACGTCCGTTTTAAATCAACAACAAAGCACAACACAGTGAAGGACAGTCATACCAAACAAAACCTTATTGATAGAACTAGAACCACAAAGTCAAACAGCATATTTGTAAGCCTGCCTTGGGCTTAAGGGGTAAGAGGCAATATCATTCCTAGAACGTTCTGATGTTCTCACCTTTATTAGTAATATTTTCCATTTTATTTTCATGTATTTATTGAATTCAATTTTGATCAGATGATTAGTTAGAGTTCAGAATAGAACCTTGTGAGGTAACTAAAATGATTTAGGGGTTGTTTGGTTGGAACTTGGAAGTAAAGTGGGTGTAAAATATTTCAAAAATAGAGGTTTTAAAAATATTAAGTTTGGTTGAATAAAAAAGGAATGCAAAGTAAAATAAATGTAGTGTAAATCATTTTAGTTCAATTTTAAGGAAAAGCAAACTCGTCCAACTTCTAGAAAGAACCTTTTTCACCACAACTAAGCTACCTTGTCGCCACCGGCCACAACCAATGATCACAGCAGGGCACACACCATTGTCGGTCACTGCCATTGCACGCCGGCCACAACCATCGTTGTCGTCCACGATCGTTGCTAGCTGTCGCAGACCACCGGCCACCCACCACTATCGGCCGCTGGCCACCACCACCGCCGCAGCCCTCCGACCACCATCGTCCCAACCAGCCATCGACCACCACCCTATTTAGACTTTATACCGCATTCATTTTATTTAAAAAAAAAAATAAGAAAAAGCGATCTCATGCATTTATTTTACACTTATTCAATAACTCCAAAGTATTTATTTTATATTGGCTTTTTTTACACTACATTCCTTATATGTTTTTTTTTCCGCAAATCAAATAGCTTCTTAGTTTCCCACTATACTCTATGTTTATTGTTTACTTAAGTTCCAATGTAGCAATATGTAAAATGTATTGGAGAGTAACATTCTTTTCTAAACATTAATATCTTGCAAGGGCAAAATATAACAATTTATCTTAGCATGCAATGCAAACCCTATTTGATGTATCATATAAAGTTTCCCTCTATACTCTATGTTTATTGTTTACTTAAGTTCCAATGTAGCAATATGTAAAATGTATTGGAGAGTAACATTCTTTTCTAAACATTACTATCTTGCAAGGGTAAAATAACAATTTATCTTAGCATGCAATGCAACCCTATTTGATGTATCATATAATTCACAAGCACCCTAATACCTCTACCAAGCAGAGTTGCAACCTATTTACTACAATGATTCTACAGATCTCAATCAATGTCTTCACCAAGCAGCCACAGCTCAAATTTTTTACAATTGTTAGACTTAAAGTGAGTTGTTTGTCATGTTTCAAGAAAGAAAAAACTTTTCATAGAAATTTCAATGATCAAGCAATTGTGGAAAACTTTCATAGAAATTTCAATGACCAAGCCATTGTGGCAAGCTAAGCGAGGGAATTTTCAATTAGAAAATGACTGTTACATGGTGCATATATACTCAATTAGGGTGTCATTACACGCAAGGTGACAGAGGGTTTGGGTTTACTGAACATAACTAGATATTTGACTAATCAATTTACTGATTAATCGAAATCATCCAATGCATATTTAATGGATGGACAATACTACGCTTCAACATAGCCAAACAAAACCTAAATGCTTTGTAATCGGCAGAGATATCATTATAAAAATGGGTAAGATTGCAATAAAATAGCACGTTTTCTAGTTATCTATGTATAAGTTTGTAATATTATAATAATTATGAATTGACCATAATTTTTTCAAGAGCCAATCCATATCATTATTTTCAATAAAATAGAGGAAAACAAAACTTTGAAGACTTACAATCCTTTAATTCTATATTTAAATTTCTTAATAGTCAAACCAAGTCAACCTTACCTCTTTGGTACCTGAATAAAATCTTTGCTAATTTTGTTAAATACTCTATCCAAGTAGTTTGCTTATTTTCTTTACATGGCTTGAGATTCCACTAAAAAACATGAAAAATAAAATCTGCAGAATGATATCAATTAGGGGGGAAATCAAAGGAGATCCCTTTTTTTTTTTAAATCAAAGGAGATCCTCAATTAAGTTCATGGACTCTTCTTTACCATATCTTTCTTCCTAGGCTTCTCAAAAATCTATGACCAAAAGATTGTGCGCAACAAAGGAGCTTTTGTAAGGACTTTTTATAAATCACTATTTATATGTTACCAATCATTACAATTTTATCATAACACATTCAAGTTAAATAAGCATCATTTTGGCAAACAAGATTAATTCTTACAGTTTTGTTATTTTAAGTTAATTACAAAAATATAAATTATAGAATCATAAAGAAGGTAGTAAATTTGGCATTCCTATATTGATAGCCAACTTATAATATAATGTCACGTTTCATAAATTGACACATTCTTCTCCTTTTGGCACCTTAGCTTAACCATCTGCATTTGATACAATAAAGAAACATAAATTTGAAATTTTAACATCAAATACGGCAGGTAAGATTTATGATAAAGAACCACCAAGGAGTTGTGTATTCAAGAATTTGACAAGCATTGAATGAAAATGCATTTCTTTAGAATTTTTTCTACGTTATAGATGAACAATTTAGAAAACCATTTGAGTTTTATCAAACAATGACATACAAAGCTAACAAAGAAAACTTATAAGGCTTTCTACCCATGAACAAAAATGGGTCACTTGACTAAAATACAAACAAGTCCAAATCCTATTTCATCATTCTTCATTTACCTGACTAATATTTTTTTCTTTAATAATCAATTAAGCTTTGATGGGTAGGGTTTGCATTTAGGTTCAAACGTTTTTTTCCCAAGCTTTGGCTATGACAAAGGATTGTGTTAGACCAGTCCAAGATGGACCGGTCCAACCGGCCCAACACCAAGGCCGGCCTTTTGTGTATTCCAAGCGGATCAAGCAAGCCGCCATCCCCCTTGTGGGCCCATGATTTGAATGCAAATTCAAAAAGGAGGGGTGCTTTAGAAGAAAATTAATTTTGAGAGAGTTTGTCTAGTAATTATCATTATATTTGCATTCTCTAAATAGGGGGGAAAGGGTTAGGGTTATGGTTAGATTATGTTTGGCTGAATGTGTATTTCTCTTAGGGTTTGCTTGGGCTCTAGCCGCCAGCTAGGGAATAGGAGAGACAAATCTTCCTCTCGAATTGAAGATCAATTGTATCTTGTTTCTTTTTTTCCCTCTTTCATCAATTATCAAGTTTCCCTAGTGCTTTGAAGCTAAAATTTCTCTCGATTCTATTTTATCTTGCTAAAATTCCGAATTTCAACCAAGATTCTTTCAATTTCTGCCAGAATTTTGTATTAAATTGGTATCATAGCACTTTTTTGGATCTATGGCGGCAAAGAAGGTGGAGGTGTTGGAAGGCAAAATGGAGAAAATCAAATTTTCGTTTGTGGAGAAGTTCTCAACCATCGAAGGAAGACTTTCATCCATGGAAGAAAAGCTCTCATCAATAGATAACCACTTTGAAAACTTGGAAGATATGATGAATAAAATGTTCGAGATGTAGTTGAAAGCTTCACCAACAATTCTTAGGGCTGAACAAAAGAGAAAGGAAATTCTAAAAGAGATGATGATAAAGTTCATGGAGATGCGATCCAAAACCCCACCAACGATTCCAATTACTAACCCTAGCCAAGATTTGACCAGGATTCCCTTGGCTAAATCTAAGGGAAATGAGATCGGACGGAAGGGGATCGATGAGGAAAGCTTCGTCGATCAAGAGCCTCCTCCTAAGGCTCTGATAAAGGTGGATCAGGGTTTCCAAAAGGGGGACAGCAATTATGGAATTTTGTGGTGGAGGAGGTGAGCTGGCCAACCATTATGAGAGGCATTTCGGGAAAGTGGAGTGGACCACCGGCAATGGAGGGGGGGGGGGGGGGAATCATGGGATCATGTCATGCAAGAACGGATGGACGAAAAGTGGGAGTCACACCCTCAACACATGGGGGAAATATGGAGGGATCGCGACAACCGCTACACTGGATGAGGAAGAAGCTATTGGGGTAGTAGCAATCATAAGGTGAGTAAGTTGAGGACGCCAATATTTGAAGGGGATTATGCCTATGGGTAGGTGTATCGGGTGGAGATGTATTTCATGATGAATGGACTGAATGAGAAGAAGTTTATGTCTGTAAGGCTATGTCTGGAGGGGAAAGCTCTAGCTTGGTTCAAGTGGATGATAGCATGGTCATTAACTAAGCAGCTAAAGAAAGCCATGAACAGTGTCCCATCCTTGCACCTTAAGGACAAGGTTTTTTTTTTTTGTGGGGGGGGGGGGGTTGTTATGGGAGCATTGTTATTGTTGCAGGCCAAGGGAGGTTGGACTGGCCGACCCAGCAGGCAGTGGAGGGGGCGAAACCTGAAACCAAATCCAAGGAGATTTTGGCCCCCATTATGGGGGTCAAGCAAAGCAATAATTCATAATGTTAGGAAGGGAATTAAGGAGGAAAAGATGTCCTATTTGAATTCAAATAGGAGAGGGAATTTTATAAGTAAAGAAGGCCGATTTGGGGGTTGATTTGAAGGATATTAATTAGGAGATATTTCCTAATTGAAGAGGGCATATATGGGGGCTGATTTGGAGGAGATTAATTATGAGATGTTTCCTCATTGAAGAGAGCAGATTTGAGGGCTGATTTAGAAGAGAATTGAGGGATGGCTGTTTTGGCATTTATTGTTTATTATTTTTTATAAGCAGTAGGGTTTATATTATATTTTGGATGGAGAATTTTATTTAAGAGTTGCTATAGTTTTCAGGTCCCAAGTCCTAGATGAGAAAAGTGGAGGGTTGCGTTAGGTAGTCGACAGCCAGCGTAAAACTTGTCGAACAATAATGACATGAATCCTTTAAGAAATTGTGTTAATGCTAGGGCGTCCCCTGGATGTTGTTGTTGTATAGTTTTCTTTTTTAGGACTTCCTTGCAGCTTCTAGATTGTTTGGGAGAGCCGATCTACCTCTCTTATTGTAGATCACAATATCACATGCACCTCTCTTAATCAACTATTATTATTAGTATTTTTGGAGTTTTTCCCTTTTTTTTTTTTTGTCACCACTTCCTATCAGATTGCCCATTGAAAGCTGCAACACGAATAAATTTCTGATCTTGGTTATTCTAACAGATTAATGACAAATTCAGACTGGAGTCCCACACTTGTGTAAATTTCATTTAACTATTAAGATTCATGTAGACCGGCATTTCTTTATGTTTTAATTTCAATTTGATTAATTTTTCAATTCAATTATATATATAGCAAGCAAATTAACAAACAAAAAACAAAAACAAAAAAACAACAAAAATAACAAATATACCATTAAAAAGTACCAAAAAAATCAGTGCTGCCGCAAACTACAGCATATCATGGATGAAAAACGAATCAATAAAAGAGAACTGAAGCAAAAATAATAATTGAACTGTCATTTTGTTAACATCGAAATAACAGCATTCAAAAACACAAATAAGTCCTGTAATAACAAAAATAAGTAACAAAAAAAATCCCATGACAGTTGCCCTCATTCGAAGTAAAAATATATTGACTACAGGACCATTAAAACCCAGAGACAAGCAAGGACAAATCGGCTACATATAAGTTCTGCTACCTCTGAAAAATCGAATGAATAACAAATAAACGGAATCTTCATAGTGAATAAGATAAAAACCGCAAGTAATTTCATCCCATCTACCGCCTACATAACCGACGAAGAATTCAATTAAATATGGGGTACAAAAAATGAAAAGAAAAAAATTTTGCTGCTGATGTTTTCTTTGGTTTTATAAATGGGCTTACGTCTTGACGAGGAGTTCAACGAGCTGGTCTTGTCCGAGAGGGGTGAGAAGTGATCGCAGGTGCTTCTCCGATTGGAGGTTCACGGGCACATCATAGCCGGCACCTTCCTTATCGACAAGGTCATTTCTAACTAAGAGCTTCCGCTTCTTCTTCTCCATGGATTCTTTTCTTTGTGGTGGCATGAAGGCGAAACTAGCAAAATTGGGATGCTAACCACCTAGGGTTTTTGGAAGAAAAAGGCTTGGCAGCCGCTATGGAAGGTACAGTCACGAAATCTTGGCCGCCTATTTAAGGGCTGATGGAACTTCTATGGAGGAACTCATGCATGTATTAATTTATTTTAATTATCTAAATATTAAAAGAATTTAAATTTTGATTAAATAATATTTTATTATTTGTTGATTAATTTAAACATTGGTATAGTATGATAATTAATTATGTTTGTCTTAATTTTAAATTTGAATTATATAGATTAAACATTTATGATGATCAAATTCACATTATGAGATATTTGATTTGTTGTAAAAATTGTGTAAAGTATTTCAAATGCTGGAGTTTTAAAAATATTGATAGCTTAATTTGTTTTTATTCAAAATTTTAGTAAAATATGCATTCTTATTTGTCTAATACTATTTGATAAAGTAACTAAATAAGAGTGTATTTAAAAATATTCATTGATCACTTAACTCTTTGAATATAAATTGCAATTTTAGAATGAGAAATATGACCTTATATGTGTATGCTCTTATGATAAAAATAGCTCTCATATTTTTGTTTGAAAGATCCAAATAATTATTTTTTTTAGAAATTAGTCATAATGAGAAACAACTACTCGTATTTACTAACAATTCATTAGACTCATAAATCATTCAAAATTGATTCAAACCTATTCAAACTAGTTCGAAGCTAGTTCTAACATTTTTATAAACCTTTGGTTGTTCCTTGCCCCAAAAGTTTTTTTATGGTCTTGTCCAAGCCTATCCCCGCACACATTATCGATCCAATTGATGCATATCCACAAGGAGTACACACTATGATTTCCTCTTTTCTAGCACATGTCACTCGTCATGGCATAGCTCGAGTCATTAATCCTCTTCGCTCACTTTGGCTAGCTCAAACTTGTTTCGAATTAGCTTTTGACCATTTGTTTTAAATCAAGTTTGAATTAGCTCCAATTCAACCCAAATTAAATCAATTTTATAGGGGCTCAACTTCACTAATTTAGAATACAAGAGGATATATTTCATGAGTTGCAATTTTGTGCAAAAGGAAACTTCGAGTATATTTATTCAAATAAATATGTAGAGGGAATATTTGAATAATTACATATATTATATGATATATAAAGTCAATTATTTGTTTTAAAATGTATCATTTATTATTTTATTATAAAATATTATTATTGTATATAAAAATACAAACTAAAGTATGGCTAATTGATGTATTTTTTAAGGAAAATTTTGATAATTTAGATTTTGCTTTTCAAAACCCTTTCAAGTAATAATAAAACTATAGTTGTACCATCAAATATCTCATGTTCTCTGAAGGCTAATCACATTCCTACAAGTGGCATTCATTTAAGTATTTACATGAAAACATCATCACAATCCAACTCAACTTTTTTACTATCCACCAAGGAGGATTTCCTTTGAAGGTGGTCCTTAGAATGATATCTTTCTTTACTCATCAAATGTGATGGATTAGGGCCTAATGAAAGAATTGAAAGCCTAAACCTATAATTATCACTCAACTATCAACAAAATAACTTTTGCTACTACAATCTAATTAACAAGAGCAATTTGACATTTTTCATTTCATCAAAAACATATATACAATAATCCAGTTTGCTTCCAATGCGTATATTAAAAGAATAAAAAATGGATTACAAAACAATACCTTAATAACTCAGACTTAAAAGATTTTGTCTCTACAACTTCCTACTTCGTTGAGCATTTATACCGGGCAACATCATAGAATGAGCACAACTTGATCAATATTCTTCTCATAGTCCATCACATATATCAATATCAAAATTAAAATATTAGATAACATATTAATTAAAAATGTAATGACGTGTACAAAATGAATACAATACAATTAGAATATGCTTTTATAGGATTTCACTATGTACTTGATTTCAAAGTTATTACTTCCACTTGCACAACTACTCTCAAGAAATTTCAGATATATTACATAATACTTATTATCATAGATCAATTTGTACTTGTCTTCACATTTCATCAAAATTCATAGAGAAATTTAGTGATATTACTTATACTTAATTCATTGAAGTATTAAAATATGTAATACAATAATTATAATATATATGTCATGATGTCTGCTTATAACTTCATTTTCACTTATGCCTCCATTTAACCTACCACACTTACATATAGCAAGTGAGGCCATAATTAGAATTAAACGATGCCACATAACATCTCACACATGCTTTCAACAAATGGGACAAAAATCCCTCCTACAATCACACAAGGTAGATGGGACGATATAGAACATACATGACCCTTATATCATAACAAAGAGTGCACTTTTCACATATTAGAACATCTCTAATGTCATATCATAGGTAGTGTAAATGTAAATGCAACAATGACTAATTATAATTTTAAAGTAATGCTTGGATGATGAATTGCAATAACTATCAGTAAGAAGTCACATTACTTATATAATATTATATGCATTGAACTTTTCCTGTTTAAATTTCAACATTAGAGGGATATTTATAGGAATATTTTAAGATTTTTATATAACTATATTAATTGATAAAAAAAAACAAAATCAACTTATACACTAAAAATTTTACGTAGGAAAAACTAACTGATTACAATTTGATTTCCCATAATAAAAATATTCAAGATAAAGCTTACAACAACGTATCAAAAGTTATAAAAAAAAAACATCATAAATTACGAGAAAAATATTTTTTTATTCGTAACTTTTTATAAAATCACTGGAATTGAAATCAGCCATTAGAGTTCAAAAGTCTATCTTGTGTGCTACCCAAGCCCGGCTAAAAATTCCAGCTTCTTAACCTATGAAACTTCTATCTTTATCTCTCATATTCTCATTTCCCTTCTCCCCCTCTCTTATTTGAAAATAGTCAGGGCTTAAATGGTTGAAAATACTTATATATATGTAATCATTTTGACCTAACATCATAGCACCCATCTTCCCTATATATATATGTAATCTTTATCTTCTAGGTAATTCTGAATCTCACTATGTGGGGACTTGTCACTACAACAATGCCACCCAACAGCATGACGCTCCCCTCATTTATCCTCTCAAACAGAGAGCTAAATGTCGTGGTATTGGCCATCCATGCATCATAACACTCTCAGAGAAATTTTTGATTAATTAAAATTTACTTCCCCAATCCACTTCCTGACTTACCTAAAGATTTATTAAGCACTCCATGACTTATAATCATCAATCAAATCAAAAATAGACAAGTATTAACAATGATTACCTAGGTTTTAGGATAACAAACATTACATCAAAGAAGACCTCTAGTGATCCTATGGCCTCTTCTATCTACAAGTTAACCATGAGATCTCAATGGTTGCACCTACTACATGTGAAAATCCAAGATAAAATACTTATTATTAGCTCTCGTCTATTTTCACACAATCCAGACCCTCACATATACAATTATTCCAATAATAATGCTACCTAAAAGGTGATGCCAAATCGAACGGGATTAGTTCAAAGCTCTCCTAAGAGGGAATATATATATATACATAAATACAAATATTAACAAGATTTAATAATATAAAATAGTTGGTTGGAAGTGTGTCCTAAAACAATATTATTGTAATATATTTTATTTTGAAATAAATATTTAAAGATAAGTTTAGCATGCATGAATATTATTATTTGATATAATATTTTGTTATTATATTTATTTCATGATTATTTATTTAATTATAAATTATTATGTAATTATATACAAGATGATTGAATTATGGATAATAATCAAAACAAGTTCGTAATTATTAATTATAGTTGAAATTTATAATTAGGCATGATTAGTAATGTCTATCAATATCAAGAATTAAATGATCATATGTTGAGTTAAGGGGGATAAACAAGTCAAGCTCGAGCCACCCTTGGCATGTGCTTCAGCTTGAGTTTAAATAAAAAGTTTGAGTTAAAGCTCAATTTCACAAGTTCAAGCTAGCTCGTAAGTCAACTTATTTATTATAAAAGAAAAGAAAAAAAATTGATTAAAGTGGACGATTTAATAAAATGACAAAATGAATGATACATTATTGGAGAAATAATAATAAATTGCTTGATATGAGGAATGAGGTCATTTTTATATAAATTGGTATTTGAACTATTATGTTCTAAGTTATTTTAATGAATTTAATATTAGTATATTTTAAATGAGCTAGTTTACGAGCAAATATTCATGTTAGGGCCGGGCTAGTTAAAATTTGATCTGTTAGCTTATCTAGCTCATTTCACAAGTTATTTATCGAGCCAAACATGAGTTGGCCCACGAGTTAACTTGACTCAATTACACCTTATGTTGAGCTTGTCATCTTAAACCCTATTTCTAGTAGTCTCGCCACCTATAACAAGTTTCTAGTTTGAAGAGTAAGATTAATGGTGTGAATTCCCTTGATGAATTATTCTAATGAGATTGCTTGATGGCTTTAGTATACAATATTCAATAGGTGAGTAGGGTCCCTTTGTGATTTGAAGAGATGCGACTTTAGGTAATTTCAAATTTGGTGAACACTAAGTCGATTTAAGGCCTTTGACTATTTGTAGATGACTTGATCAATCTAAATAAGATAAATATAGGTGTACATTTATTTCATATTCTCTTTAACTCTTTTGAGAAACTAACCAAAATAAATAAATATTTAGAATCTAAGTCGGACTAAATTTGCGGACGCATTAAATACGATTGATCGTGTAGATCTAATTATTTATGTTGGACACATAAGCATAAAAGGAATGCTTATTTACATGCTAATCATGTTTAATTATGTTATAGTTAGGAACATGCACCTTAAAACTTATGAATTTTCAAATAGGTTTAGACTTTTATTTTTCTTGGGATTTTTATGATATTATTCTTCATATCGATATTTCTTCTCAAAAGTTTGTAGATTTAAAAATTTATATAATTATACAAAATCTAGATTTTATTTGGGACAACTTTTGACAACCACCTTTTTAATGTTTTCAATACTTTTTTATACAGAAAATATTGTAAAACATAATAAAAAAATTGTCACAAATAAAACCTTAGAGTTAATTAAGAAGCTATATTATAATTAATGAACCGAGGCTTGATTTTTATTTTTAATGTGATTTGATATATAATATGTAATATTTTTTATTAAAAAAATAAAATTATGATGGGTTTTCAAATATAATTTGTAAATTATCTTAGTTGTTGCTAAAATGACTAGTTGGTTAATTATAGTTGAATTTGGCCATTTAAAAGGCTGATTTTGAGCTCATTAATGATTCTTAAACTACTATATATAGCACTAAACTTTAACTCTAATAGATTAATAATTCCACATATATTCTATGTTCTATCATATCCCAAAAAGGAAGCTATAAATATGGTCATCCTTTAATGTTATGAGAGCAAACTTTAAAGTAAAATCTATAATAATTTTGTTGTCTTATAAAGTTATAATTATTTTGTAGTTATGGCCTACACACAATGAAGAAAAGTGCATGGTTCCTCTTAAGAAAAAGCTAGATTATATTTCCTAATAAAGGAAGAGGCTATACATTTTTGTAGCATATGATAGATGAATGAGCTATCGATTGGCTATAGTAGAATCTTAAGTACGAGGAATGCTTGGTTATGAAAGTTGCCAATTAAGTATGTCAAAATAGATAAATTTAGATGTTATATGCATTCTTCTAATGTATTCATATGAATATTTATAACTAAAAGGTCAAAATGTGCCATTTTGTGAGTGGACTTTGTCCCACTAAAGCTAAACAATAATTTTTTGAATTACGAAATTCATCAAAAATCGGATAAAAGCTATTAGTAATTATTTTTGAAAAAAAAAACGTCGGTAAAACCTCTTGAAATACTTTCCTTTGAACAAAAGAAACTTTTAGAAAAAAAAATTTACATGAATTTTTTGATAAAAATTCTTTTGTTGAGCGCCAAAGCGCCAAGTGGGAAAGATGATCAATCAGATATTTCAAAATTCAACTACGAATGATTGTGCCTTGCGGAAAATATTTATTGAGTGCCTCCTGTCCAATATAGATTATAATGTCTTATATGTTGCACTTATTGGTGGAAATCTACTAGAAAATTAATTTTATCAAACTTTTTTGATTGAAATTTAGCAGCATAATTACTATAAATTCTCTCATCCAAATTATCACATTGAATGAAAATATCATCACAACACATAGGAAAATCGTTATAACATCTTAACAATACAATCAAGCTATTTGAAAACATAAATACTTATTATATAATATAATTGATTGCAACATCATGATTAAAAACATAAACTTAAATGATTAAAGAAGATAAAATAATTGACTATTGCCCGTCCCTCGTTATTGTCCAACTATAATCTTTCGACCTCTATTGTCCTACTAAAGTCCTCTGAATACCTTGGTTTGCCTACAATCCCTCAACTATCTTCATCCGATTACAATCTTCCAACTATTATCGCTCAACTAAGGTCCTCCAACAACTACTGCCCAACTATGATCCTTCGATCTTCAATGCACGACTACAATCCTCAGACCTTCGTTGTAAGTCTAAGATCATTCAGCCATAATCAACTGACTACGACTCTCCAACCATTCTCACATGACTACGAGTTTTCAACCACTGTCGCATGGCTAAGATCCCTGGATCAGCATCGTTCGACAACAAATCCGCAACCACCATCACGTGATTGTTATCCTCTGACTATCATCGATTGAATACTTGAGTATGATCCTTCAACCACAGTCACTCATCTATAATCCTTTGATCATCGTTGCTCAACTATAGTCCTATGACCACTATCACCAACTACAATACTTCAACCGCCATCACCTGACTATGATTCTCTAACAAATGCCCCTCGACTATGGTTGTCTATTGTCTTCTAAATACGTTCCTCCAACAACCATCGTTTGACTTCAATCCTTGAACATGTAGTAGTAGATCCATCGACCAATATCACCTGACTAAAATGATGATCGCTGACTTCGTTAACTGTCTTTTCAAATAATATAAATGTATGCTATAAATTATAAGATCGATATATACAAGTGTCACCAACTTTAACTTCCAATATCAACACTAAGATTTATGCTAGATTTTTTTTAGTCTTTGGCCTCCTCAGCTTGAAGGAGTTTGACAAAACAAGCAAGCAAACGATCCCTCAAATATATCTTCCACACCATATAGTTTTCCTAACTTCCATCACATAATATATTTACCAAGTTGTATTAATTCCTTCCCTCCATGAAGATATCATTTGCAAATGATGGTAAAAATTAGTGGAATCATTTCAACAAGATTATGCCCCATATTTTTTTTTTTCATTTGTGAAATTTTTATATAAAAACTATAATGTATTTTATAACTATTTTATTTAATATATATGCTAGAATATATATCTTCATATAATACTGATATATTTTCAAAAAAATTATTTTGATCGAGCACGAATCTCGAGGCAAAATCAAGTCGGAAACTTCAAAAAGTAAATCCGGGAGCACATGAACTACGATTTCAACGAGCTTATAGTCAAATTGAGCGTCTCGGAAATACAAACCCAACGATATCAAATTCAACTCAATCCGAGCTCAAATGAGTCCAAATCAAGCACCCAAAGTGCTGTTGGAAAGTTTGTGGGCCTCCGAAGGAGCACCGCTCGCGGGGTTTCGAACGCAGAGGGTACGGCCACACTATCCCGTAGGACAAAACGATCGTAGGCCTCTACACTCGACACGAACGGGTCGAGCCCAAGATCGTCGAATTCCGACATCATTAAGACCTTCAAATATATGGCGAACGGTGCACAATCAAGGGATTCAATATCAACCATCAATTCGACCACTCCCTATTTGCCCCTGATCTCACATATATTTACGAGCTATGCTACTCTAGAAAATCTATAAATAGACCACTCATTTCTCATGAGAGGGGACCTAAGCAAGAAGAAGAGAAGAGAAGAGAAGTATAGAAGGGAATAGCTCCTCCTCGACTATCGCCGGGGTTCTTCTCGCCGCCTGAGTAATGCCAGAATTATGCCGGACACCCGGGTGACGCCGGAATTCTTCCTAAGTAACGTCAAAGTTCAACTCGACGTCAGAATTCGGTCCAACTTCCGGACGACACCTGAATTCTGCCCAATCTCCTTAGTGACGCCGGAACTCTGCTCAACATTGTAACTGAATCTCAATTTAGAAGAGATTCATTGTAATATGATCGTCCTAACTTTGTGGACGAGTCAGCCTCTTGTATCTCAAACAAAACACTAGTGAAACTATTTCAACTGGATGAGGCCCCATGATTTTTTCCCTTTCAGGGTTTCCACGTAAAAATCCCGGTGTTCCCATTTATTTTCTGCTTGTGTGCTGGATATTCGTGCAACACTCAGACGAAAATTTACTAACTCTATCGCCGCGTATACTCTAGCCCTCAACAAATACTAAAATAATACACTCTCACTCTATTATTATAGAAATTTGACGCATAGCAAACACATACAAACAAATATATAAATAAAAGCCATTATAGCAACAATAGATTAATAATGCTACAAACTATTAACATGTGAAGAAAAATCATGATCTCAGCCACTTGACGGGCAGCTGTTAACTGTTGGGAGAATTTCACCATCATAGTGGAGAGCTGTTTTACACATATTACGATATTACACCTGGTTTCCCTAAGTTTGTTGCATTAATTCACATAGTTTCAATTACAAATTTGATGACAATAAAGTTTGTATGATCTTATAATTATTTTATAAAATTTTTAGACTAAATATTGATTGCTTAGTATCTAAAAATTACATCATATTTTACGCTTAATCTGATAAATATATTGGTGGTTTGTCAATAAAAATGGGAGAAATATTTCAGAAACACACAAAAACCACTTACTTCTCCTGGTCAATTAAACATGAATTTAAAATTTTGAATAATCAGAATTCTATTGACCAAACTATTTTAATAATTTCAAGTCAATAAAAATATTGATGAACCAAAATCTTGCTGTTGAAACTTGATCAAGCAAAGATTTCATTTGTTTCGACCACTTGATATAAGTTGGAGCCATCTATTTTAACTTCGGGGCTATTTGGTTGGCTAAAAAAAGAACGCAATGTAAAATATATACTTTAGAGCTGTTTGAATAAATATAAAGTAAATGCTGGAGCATCATCATTGTTTTTGTTTGTTTAGAAGTAATGAATGTAGAGTAAAGTCATAAATGGTGATAGCCGGCGTGCAGCGAGCGGCAAGAGATGATTTACACTCAAAATCATAGGTGTTTGGTTTATGCTTAAAATGAACAACTTCACTTTACATCATATCGCTAAAGTAATCTAACTAAATAGCACCTCAAAGATTGAAGAATGTTTTGAAAATTAGAATAAAGACTGATTTGGGATGACTGCAATTTTTTAAAATTATTATAGAAAAAGTAAAATTTTTATGAAAATTAAATAAAAACAATTTCAAAAATTTTTAGAAAGTAGTGATAAAATAATAGAAAAATAAAACTATGATTATGATCATAAAAAAATATAGCAAGATGAAAGTTGTCTAAATAAATCCTAATTTTAAGCCAATAGACCTTATATTGATGTAAAGATAGAAAGAGCAAAAAAATAAAAAATAAAAATAAATATATATATATATATACGCATGGATACGCGGTAGATCTGATAATTAGCCGCCCTAATACACAAGCTGCCAGCCGAACATGCGGAGGCTGCGGGACGGAATTCAATTTGCGTCCGAAATATTGTTAATCAAACATGCTTGAGTCCGCTTCTCTGTTTCCACTACTCGCCTCTCGTCCTTCAGAGGTCACGACTGTATTCCTTCCCTCCTCTTCTCTCCTACTCAGTTATCTACACCGCCCATCGTCCCTCAATTGCCCCCAAATTCCTCCCCGAAGGTTTGCGAAAATTCGCTCTAAACCTCAATGATCAGTTGAAAACTTGCTTTGGAGCATGAATCTCCGGCCGCTTGCGAGATCTAAATTTTGCTGAGGAGAAGAGTATCTTCAGTCTGTTACCCTGCGGATGTAAATCTCTCTCTAGCAGCTTATTCTTGGCTGCCTGGGTGTTTTTCCATGGAGTATGGTCTTTCTGACAGCAGCGGTGAGTTTGTTAATCATTTCTTGCAGTCACGGAAGTCATTTCTCGTTCTTTCTCGGGGTTTATCCGAACTGGCATTTTTGTTTTCTGGTGAATTTTGACGTCCTTTCTGTCCCGGTGTTATAAATTGGGGACCATCTCCTTGATATATTTGGCAGCGGAGAGGGAGGCAACCAGCATCCTGATGATTAGGTTTAAGGTTTTGAAGCTTGTTAGTCCATGAAAGGAAAGTTACTCTCTTTGTTGTCGGCACGCTAGATAGCCGTTTTTCACTCCGGGTCTGACATTAGGGCATATTTAGGGCTTTAGGTGTTCAGCCGCCAAGCTTTCCCCATGCTAGGTTAGAAAGGTAGGACCTTGATGTTGCTTCTCTAGAGATTCTAATTGCGGAGCAAAGCTTAAAGCTGCTTGTGGTCATCCTTGCTATGCTTTGGCAGGGTTGACATTATCTCCGAGATTGCTTTTCTGAGTCCATCTTATTGCTCTCACACCAGGTGAGCTGGTGTTCTGGCAAAATCGTTTTTTTATACTCTTACTCTGAAACCTTAATAAATTCTACAAATAAACTTAAGAAGTTGGCAAAGCTGAGTTAATTTTGGTGATTTGTGATGAGAGCAATTTTCATGTTTGTGATTGGCTTGCAGTTTGTTATTATTGTTCTTTTTTTTGCATTTATGTTGATCCTGCCACGGGAGATTCGTGATCTAACTGTCAGTGATGAGTTGCAAGAGGGAAGGCTGAAGTTGGAACCATACGCAGGATATTTTCAAGCCCATAGTCTTACATAGATAAAGCCCAACTTTAAAATTTCAATGAACTTCTTGTTGCGTATGTTAAACTTATGACCTAAATCAACAGTTTAGAGTATTTAGTTTGTTGAGGTCTTTTTAGTTGTCAGACAAGGGGCTTTTTGTTGAATATGACAATTTTATGCTCTAAAAACTAAAACCAGTTCTTTTAACCGCCAACACTAGACACTATTTAATTGTCCAAGTTATTTTAAGATACCACATCAAGGGAGTTCCTTTTGAATATGTCAAGTATGTTCTCTAAAAAAGCTAAAGCAGATATTTTAGCTGTTAAAATGCTGTTGCTATCTAATTGGTTATGCTATTCTTTGGTGTAACACCGTTGGAATGTCCTTTGCTAAAAAATTTATTCTCTAGAAAACAAAACTTGAGGCGTTTACATTTTTGTACCTGTTAGGCTGACACTATTCAACATTTATCTTCGTTTGAGCTGCTAAACTGACAGTTTTTTCATATATCAGGTGCATGATTTGGAGACCGTGCCATGGCTACTTAATGCTAATATTTGACATTATTTAGTTTTTTTTGTTCAAGTTCGTTTAAGCTTATGCTTGTGGATATTTTTTTTAAACTACCTTGAAACTTTCTCGTTATGGCATGAATGTGTGAAGCAAAATGCTTATATCTTTAGAAATGGCACCTTGCTGAAATTCATACTAAATACTTCCTTATGCGCCGTGCTAAGTTTGTGTGCATAAGTAGCTGCATGCCCATTGCATACAAACCACAAAAGTGAGAAACAAAAGGCATATAGATGATTTTGAAATGCATTAGAACATTATGGAAAAAGCTAAAGCCATGTGATTTATGACTTGAAATGTAAGCAATATCAAGTCTTTTATACCAAATCTATAACATGACAGATAAAATGCATAGAAATATATAATTTGTAATGGAGTTTATGTTTTCCTAAAGATATGATATGCTAGGACATATTTTGCCTTGCTAACTAGTTTTTGGTCATGTGCCCGCCGGTAGTAAGGCAAACAATGAACAAGAGTTCGAACCTCGAAGTAGTTTTCTATCTGTTATCTGATTGATAATGACTAAGATAGATACTATTATCCATGACTAAGATAGATATGATTTTGTTTATGTTTTTGAAATTTATATTTATTTGGAGTTAGCAAATTTTATTATATTACCTTATTTTTATGATGATTATATTCTAGTAAGGTTAGGGGTAGTTTCAACTTCTATTTTTCACTCCATTTATAGGCATATCCCCATATTCATTGTAAATAACATGATATTATGAATTAAATGAAAATTTCCTTTAACCCCCTTGTTTTGGCTTCCTAGTTTTTCTTGCCTTGAGGATTCAACTTCTCAATGCCTTGACGATTCAACATCAATAGTTTGAGGATTCACTGTTTTGGTATGTTTCCATTTGTTTATTCACATTGTAAACTGATTAAAATCTTGCTTATATTAGCATGAATTTGTGATAGGGAACATTTGAAGATCTCAATTAATTCCTATCAATCTTTAGTAAACAACGAAAATCCTCCACAAGAATCCACACAAAACCGAGAAAACAGTAGAAAATTTGATGAAATAGAAACGAAAAATACCAAGATAAAATGATTCTCTATTCGAGAGGAGGATCTCTCCCAAATCTCTAGGCGCCGCTATAGCCCAAAGGAAAACCTAAATCTAAGAGATCTAAAATTTTAGCCAAATTCCAAATGTCCTAACTCTAGGAAAACAAACTATTTAATGCATAAAAATTCAAAAGGAAATCTCTAAACAGTCCATACATTCAAATTTCCCTCCCAAATCCCTCAAAATTCTTTCCCAAAAAGTTCTGCCGGCTTCTGTGGTTTACACGACATACGAGAGAGACGAATTTCTCCGCCTTTGTCCGTGTGAATCGGTCCCTATGGGACCGGCTGGACAGGTCTAACAATTTGTTATCAGAGTGAATTTTATGTTGCTTTTCTCTCATTTTGATTATCTTTTTAGTTTTTCCATTCAATAATTTCATGTAGTTCTTGCTTATTTTCATTTATTTTTTTCTTGATATTTGTCATCCCTCACTTTCTCTTCTTTAAATGCAACTGTTTCCTGTAAAATTTTCCCCTCAGCTTTCTCTCTCTTGACTTGAGCACCACTCAGGGATCCATATTACCATGAATTCTCTCCTCCCTTAGCACTTATTTGTCTCTTCTTGTAAAGATGAATCATAAATCCTAGATTTTTGTATATTTGCTCTCTATTTGCCCTTCTTACCTCACTACCTTATCAAAACAATAAAAAATGTAAAAAAATACTAATTTCTTACACCCACACGGCCACACCCACCCTTTTTCTTCGCTTGTCACTCTCCCACCTCATCCTATAAATTCCCTTAATCACCTAGAATATTTTTAGCACATTGTTTAAAATCTGAATGTTAATATTTAAATTAAGATTCCATTCAAATCGTAAACCTATTGCTTAACCTCCTGCACAAAATAGACCCGAACCCAACATCATCCAACATGTTCCTTCCATTTATGCCCAAAGTTGGTTTGAACTCCAACAACCATATGTCTTGCTAATGTGTATGCAACTCAAGGAGAATAAATTCTTTCTCTTTCATATTTTGATTCTCTTGTCTTGGTTTTGTTGCTTTCCTAAAGAAATATAGAAAATAAAAAAAGAAAAGAAAAGAAAATACACGAGAAACAAAAAAGGAGAAAATAAATGTAAGCGGCCTTCCCTTTCTTTGAGGTTGCCAGCATGTGTCAGAACATTTGAGCTTGCTCTCTTGCTTGAGTGGACTTTCATCATATTTTGATGATTACACAGACTCGTCTATGTTAGTAACTAGCAATTATAATTTCTTTAAATGTTTCAAAAAAAATGGAGATGTTACCGACCTTTGAGAATCTAGGTTTTTTTTATGGAATGCATTGTTCTTCCTTTGAACTTCAGTTTTTTGGAGGTATTCCACCAAATTTACACTCCAGAATATAATTTTTTTTTTGTTTAGAGGGAATAGATGTCATCTGCCATTTTCCATCTGACATTTGATTGATCATGTTAAATATATATAAGTTTTTTGTTTATGTTTTTTTTTTTTTTTAATTTTTTACTTTCTTTGGAATTAGTAATTATTTTCATATTATCTTTTATTTTATAATAATCCTATAATAAACTTAAGGGATAGTTTGAACTTTTTATTATTGTAACTATTTCTATAAATAAGCTCTTATTTATTATAAAAAAAATCATGGTATGATTAATTAAATGAAAAACTCCTGAACTCTTGTTTTGACTTCTTAGTTTTAGGATTCAACAATGCAATGCCTTGAGGGTTTGAGATGTTTATTCTTATTTCCTATTGATTTCTACAATTTTACTGCATGCCTATTATCACCGACACTGAACTTTTCAACTTATTAAATACTAAAATAAATTTTATTGCTCTGCGTAATTTAGTTTGTTTTTTGATTGCCTTGAAATGGTTTGATAGCGCTGCTGCTGCTTGTGATGATGATTATAGTTGATCAATTTTATTGTGTTCTTTTGGCTTTGTTTTGTAGGGACTGATGATGATCTTCCACCACCACATCAGAATAGAGGTGCAAGAGGGCGTATTGCAGTGAATGGAAGAACTGGTGTTACCCTTCCCTACAGTAGAGCCCAGATTGATATGGAGACTCAGATACATCAGTTGGAGCAGGAAGCATACAGTTCTGTTCTCCGGGCATTCAAAGCTCAATCAGATTTGCTTACTTGGGTAGACATTCGTGCCATCAGAATAAAGTCACTAAGGTTTTGTTTGGGACGGCTTTCTTACTACTTCTTAAAGCATCTTTTTAGTTTAAAAATTTTAATAAGCAGTAAGAAAGCCGTCCCAAACAAAGCCTAAGTAACCATTGTTTCTTTTTTTTCATTCCTGTTTTAACACATTGCTGCGGGAAATTGATTTCACAGGAGAAGGAAACTTTAATAACTGAACTAAGAACAGAGTTAAAAGTATCTGATATAGAGCACCGAGAACTATTAAGCATGGTTAATGCAGATGACCTTATAAGGAGAATAAGGTAAGCCGATGATCAAAAGTTCCTCTTGATCTGCATATGCGTGTGTATTGTATTTTTGTATAGCTGTTCTAATTGTTGGTACGAAATGTTGGTCTGTAAAAGGGAGTGGAGGCAGGCAGGAGGGAGGCAACCTGGCTTGATGAATCATGCACAGCCTGTTCCGGATTCACTGCCTAGTCCTAGTGTTTCGGGGTCTCGCAAGAGGAAAAATGCATCTCAGTCAATACCTTCTTTGCCTCTCAATGTGCCATCGCCTGCAATGCATTCCCAACCAGTTGGTGCTTCCATGCAGCCATCAGTACCAGCTGTAAAGCATGGACCTTCAGGAACCAAGAGCAAGCAGCCTAAACCAGTATGCCAACTATCAAAATTATTGCAACATATGAATTTAACTTTGGCCACTCTGCTATTCAGAAAAATTTGTGGATATGCTTTTCGTCAATTGATTTTGATAAGGAGTCTTTGCAGATTCCCCCCATGGGTCCGAGTGGAAGGGGCCATCTCTCAAATAGGGGTGTCCCTAATGTTATTGCTGCAAATGAGCTGCCTGAAACTGCAGCATATGATCCCCTGATTGGGCGAAAAGTAATGACTAGGTGGCCAGAAGACAACAACTTCTATGAGGCTGTTATTACTGACTATGATCCACAGAAGGTGTGTGTTGGCATCATACTTTCACTTTTGTCATATTTGTGTTTGAATGGGACTCATGTTTATTACTTCCCATTCTCTTTGCTGATTTTCAGGGACTTCATGTTCTTGTATATGATATTAACACGAACAACGAGACGTGGGAGTGGGTCAATCTCAAAGAGGTGAAATGTTTTATATATTTAACTGATATGATTCATATTGATTTTACTTTTATTGACATTCTTTTATTCCCTTGAAAAGTAATAATGAGGAATTCTTTCATATGCACTTATATAATTTTATAGTTTGCTATTTAGAGTTAGACCTGTCAATATTGGACCCGACCCGAACCCGACCCGGAATTTTCGGGTTTGGGTTGACCCGAACCCGAAGCGGGTCGGGTTCGGGTCCGGAAAACTGACCCGTTTGCAAAAACGGGTCGGGTTCGGGTCTGGAAAACTGACCCGTTTGCAAAAACGGGTCGGGTTCGGGTGAACCCGAATAAATCCAGGTCAGTTACGGGTCGGGTCGGGTTCGACCCGTAACCCGAAATTGACAGGTCTATTTAGAGTCACTAGGTTATTTTGTATCTGTGTGGTTTATGCTTAACTTAGTTATAGGGGTGTCAATATATGACCTAACCTGAAAATTATGGGTTATGATCTACCCATTTAACAAATGGGTTGAGTTCTGGTTTAATTTTTTGACCTGATTGACATATTGGGTCGGATTCGGGTTAACCCGCAAACCTGAAATTTACCTGTTTGACCCGGGGTATTTAGGGAAATAGACAATGCCGGGGCATTCAGGGCAACTAAAACAACTAAGATTGACACCCATATTGGCTGGAGTTATCGATTGACAAAAAATAAAATTTCACGTGCGCGAATCGAGGCGACACTTATGTGCACGAACGACAGTGATTTGACGGGCGAATCTAAGCATGATAAATATTTATCATTAATTTAAAAAATGTTAAATTTATATTTCTTACAAAAAAAAAGAAGAAATGAAAATCCTAAATGTAATTAATTATAAACTATATTACCTCCTAACTTAAATACATAATAAAACCCCTCATCCACTTACTCTTAACACGACTCAAACTCATGCACATGAATCCCTCTCTTGGCTCCCTCACTCTTCCTCTTGGCTCCCTCTCTTGTGTGCGCTCGACCCGACATCGCTGGCCTCCTGTCGCCGTCACCGCCTCCAGCTCCACTTGGGTAAACCCCTCCTTTTCCTCTCCTTTCTCTTTTCCTTCATCATCATCATCTTCTCTTCTTTTTTCTTATTTCTTCTCTTCCTCTTCTTCTATTTCTGCTGGCTTCTTCTCCTTCCTCACCTTTCTCTTCTTCTTCCCCAAAACCTAAACCTAATATAACCTTAATTTTTTTTATCCCTTCCTACACCTCAAATCCCCACTTTCCATTCACAAATAATACTCCTCATAAGCTCCTACACCCCCTCTACCAAATCCCTAATGTACCTTCCATTTTCTCTCTTTAGATTTAGAGAGAGAAAATGATTTCTTTCTCTAGACCTCACTCTCTCCTCCTAACACTTTCACCCTCTTTCTCTCTCTACTTGGAGAGGGATTTTTTTTTTAGAATAAAGGTGATGCACAAGATTGTGCGAATTATAGAGGAATTAAGTTAATGTGTTATACTTTAAAACTATGGGAGAGAGTTATGGAGCATAGGTTGCGGCGTGACACTAATGTTTCTCAAAATCAATTTGAATTCATGCCAGGTAGGTCTACTATGGAAGCTATACCTTTATTGAGAGGTTTGATGGAGAATTATAGAGAGAATAATGAGAATCTACCTATGATTTTTATTGATTTAGAGAAAGCATATGATAAAGTTCCAAGAGAAGTATTCTTAAGAGTTTTACATAAGGGGTTTATAATGCTTATATTCAAGTCATTAAGGATGCGTATGTAGGAGCTGTTATTTGTGTTCAAACACAAGGTGGTTTGACCAAATATTTTCTTATTTCAGTTGGATTATATCAAGTATTAGCCTTAAGCCCATATCTTTTTGCTTTAGTCATGGATGTTCTCACTAGACATTTGCAAGATGTTGTACCATGCTGTATACTTTTTTTTGATGATATTCTTCTTGTTGATAAGACTAGTGAGGGAGTTGAAGGTAAACTTGAATTAAGGATGTCAACCTTGGTGTCTAAAGGCTTCCGTTTGAGTAGATCTAAAATTGAATAAATGGAGTGTAATTTTAGTAATAATAGATCTAGTAGAGGGATTGTGACTTTGGGCAATCAAGTCATTAATAAGAGTACATGTTTTAGATGTCTTGGGTCTATTGTTCAGAGTAATGGTGAAATAGATGAGGATATTATTAGTAGAATTTAAGTTGGATGGTTGAAGTGGAGGAATGCATTGAGTTTGTTGTGTGATAGAAAAGCCCCTCTCAAACTTAAGGAAAAATTCTATAAGATGGTAGTGAGATCTACAACGCTTTATGGTGCAGAATGTTGGCCATTAAAAGAGAAACATAATATTAATTTAAGTGCTGCAGAGATGCGGATGCTCAGGTGGATGAGTGACTTTACTCTTAGAGACAGGATATGAAACGAGCATATACGTGAAAAGGTTAAAGTTGCTCCAGTGGAAGATAACATTAGAGAGAGTTTCCTTAGATGGTTTGGTCACATAAAACGACGGCTTTTCGATTACCCGGTTAGGAAAGTAGATGTATTAGATTTGACTTATGTTAAGAAAAATAGAGGTAGACTTAAAAAGACTTGGTTAGAAAATATTAGAAATGACATTTCTTTATTAGATTTATATGAGAATTTGACTCTTAACAGAACACAATGTAAAAAAAAAAAGGATTCATGTAGCCGACCCCATTTAGTGGGGTAAAGGCTTATTGTTGTTGTTGTTGTTGTCTCTCTTTGGAAAGAGAGAAAACCCTTTCATACTCTCCTTGTTCTCTCTCTGCAAAGAGAGGAATAACTCTTTCCCCCACTTTATCTCTCTACAAAAAGAGAGAAAAAGCCAAAAAGAGAGAATTTGTGCGTCACCTTGCCACATTGTCTCGTCGTCGCCTCGTTGCGTCATCTCACCATCTGCCTATTCGCTGCCGCACACTTTAAGGATAGACCAATTTGCTATGGCGACAACTCAAATAATGACCATCTCAGTGATGACAGTTCAAATGATTTTTGAGTTGCGAATTATTTCACCTTTCATTAAGAATTAAATGTAAATGAGTTGGGAATTGAGAAAGAAGAAATTTGGAGTTGAACTTGATGTGATATGATACTTTTATGCAATTTGTATATTTAATATTGTTTTGGTCTTATAATATTTGGATTTCAATTCTATTTCACATAATTTATCATTTGTCACGTTATACCTTGTGCAATTTTTGTTTCATATGTATGTCAATTTATTAATTTATAATTCAATAGAAAGTTAATATGTCATCATTTAACAAATTATTTAGGTATTATATAAAAAATTATTTTCGACCTTTATTTTCACTTTAAACAATTTTTTGATTTTGAGCCTTATGCCTCGCCTCACGAACAAAAAACATCTAAATACCTAATTGCGCAATTTTAAACCTTGGTTTTATTTTGTGAATTGTTATGCATGTGAAATTAAGTACTCGTGATTACTTTTCTTGGTAGGCAGGGAAACACTGATGTGTATGTAAAATCCTAAGTACCTGTGACTACCTTCTCGGTAGACATCTTTTTTGGCGTGGTGGGCAGGCCTAGCACAGTCCGATGCGACCCCCTACATGAGCACGACATTGGGGTGCTGTTAAAATTTGGACAAAAATAAAGAACTTAGACTAAATTTTGGGGAAGTAAAATGTAAAATTAAATTGACAAACAAAATGAAAATGCATGAAACCATAAGTTGCAAATACTGAAAATAGAAAAAAAAATGAATTAAAATCAAACTTACAGTGAACTTGTAGAAGAATTGATTGCTCGACTAACACTAGAACAAATACGAACTAAAATTCAACCCCCCCCCGCTAGCTACAAACTCGTGCACACTAAAATTCCTTAGTAACACCCCCTCTTTGCAAGTTAAAACGCATGATAAAAAACTAAGTTAAATGAGCTCCCTATTTATAATATTAGAATCAATTCCCCTAAGGTGCTCGCCAAGCTCAAATCCAGAACACAGAGACAAAATATATGTATGCAAAAAATGTGTTAAGGGTCAAATATGAAGGTTAACGGGAAATAATTAACTAAAAAATATAAAATTATTTAAGTTCCTACGACGGTGCATTCATATTAACGGCTGCCACAAAATTCCTCCCATATATCTTCGATAATCACCTTAATTAAACGATCCTTAATGAAAATATGTCGTTAATCATATTGCAAGTCATGGGTGTGCAAGTGCCCTAGGTAACGTACATGTCAACGGCAAAAAACAAGGGGATTCATATTGGCATGAATGCCTTGTACACCCTGTGAATGCTTGCACATACACCGTTGTGTGTCACGAGTTGTATGACTCTCTCATTAAGGTATGTGAAACATGTCAAATCAATAAAATAAACATCTTTCACACGTTATTTGATCATATAGTGCAAATATACTCGCGACATAAAAGTGCACTATATGAGAATACTAAGTAGCGTGTATATGCGTATCGTTGATCATGCAAATACATCTTACAAATGCATCAACAATCTTATAAATTCGCTAGTGCTTCGTGCAAGTCTATCGAGATTTCTGCAAGTGTTCATGCAAGTGCACCGCATGTGTAAATGCATTGCACGTGTGTACTTTGCAACATACAAATGAGTCATGCATGCATGTCAATATTACACAAATATATCATGCATACACCGAATAATATGCAAATGTATTGTGTATGTACAAAATACAATATGCAAACACATCCTGCATGCACCACGTAACATACAAAATGTCATGCAAGCACGTTAAGTAATGCGCAAATGCATATGCAAATACACAAGTATGCATAAAACATGCAAATGAATATGCAAGCATGCAAATACATACACGAATGTGTATGCGAACATGCATATATGTCATATACATCCATTGCATCACATATATATGCCGCGCAATGTGCAAAATGTATTATATAAATGAACATCATTCAACATATACATGCATTATACGCCGTAGTAGTGCATTACATTGACATGCAAACACA